AAAAAAGGAGATTCGATTTTCCGCGCGAAGTCTTAGAGCCTAAGTTTTATCATTTTTTAAAAAATAAAAAATAAAGAATTAGTACTCGCAACGCAACCTTTACCTTTTGTCTGCCTATAAATAACACCATTTAGTCTATTTTGAGTATTTTCCCTTCAGCTGTCTGTAAGCCATTCACTTTCCTCTCCCGCCCCGTTCCCGCTCCCGCTTCCGCTCTGTTAATTCGCTTTATTTGCATCCAATCTTTCTTTCATTCTCTTAAATTCGTCTACTTCTAATTCTTTTATCAGACTCAATTTTGTGTGTTCGAATTTATCAAATTTGTTTAGATTGATCCAAGATATGAAAGGACGCTGGAGCAAGAAGATAAAGAAGGCATCGCCGTCGGCAGCCGGAGATCAGCAGTATGCCAAGGGATTAAGCTCATACAGGGACGCTTGCAAGCTCGATGTAGATTTGGAGACTTTTGATGCGACGCTGCAAGCGCGGACTAGTTGCGTGGTCAACACGCTCGCGGACGGCTTGGAGGTACGGGCGCTTTCGTTTGATTCCCTCAAGGAGGTGACGGAATGTCTTCTCGAGATGAACCAGGAGGTGGTGAAGGTAATCTTGAAGTGCAAGGAAGATGTGTGGAAGACTCCGCAGCTGTTTGAGCTCGTTGAGGAGTATTTCGACAACAGTTTGCAGACTCTGGATTTCTACAACGCCTTGGAGAAGTGCCTGCAGCGCGCTCGCAATAGTCAATTGCTCATCCTCGTCGCACTGCAGCAGTTCGATGAGGAGACGCAGGTCGGAGGGAGTCGGTATGTTAGGACGCTGGAGAAGCTGAAAATTTTCAAGGCGGCAGGGGATCCGTTTACACAGGACTTCTTCCTGATGTTTCAATCGGTTTATAAGCAGCAGAAGCTGATGTTGGAGAAGCTGAAGCAGCGGAAGAACAAGCTGGGCAAGAAGCGCAAGCGCATCAACGTGTGGACGAAGGTTACGAGTATGATTTTCGTGACTACGTTTGCTGCTGTGTTGATTTGCTCTATTGTGGCGGCGGCCATTGCTGCTCCTCCACCGGTTACTGCAGCTCTTGCAGCAGCTTCTAGTTCTATTCCTATCGGTACCATGGTGGCGGAATGGGTTGATTCTCTCTGGAAAAATTGTGAAAATGCATTGAAATGGCAGGAGGAGGTGATTATTTCAGTGCAGGCAGGAAACTATGTTGCCATTAAGGATCTGGATAACATCCGAGTACTGATTGATCGGCTTGAGATTGACATTGCAGCTCTGTTGCAGAATGCAGAGATTGCAATTAAGGTAGAACCTGTGAAAATTGTGATAGAAGAGATCAAGAAGAAGATGGAGGTGTTTATGAAGAATGCGGAGAATTTGGGGGCACAGGCTGATCTCTGCAGCCGTGACATTAGGGAGGCAAGGAGGGTGGTTCTGCAGAGGATATTCAAAAACGCCAACAACTAAAAGATGGGAAGAACATCAATGGATAACTGCCGCTAATCCCCAAAAAACTCACCGGCTTCACACGATGATGGTGATGATGAACACAAAGTATGCCGCAGGTCCAGCCACACAATATGAACATATTCATTGTTTTTTGTTCTAGATCTGTAGAGGAATAACTGAAGACTTTCATTCAGTTTCACCCCTGTTCTTTGTAGGAATTGTAATATTGTTTGGAGATTAAACTCCTTATTTATTCACTGAATTTTTTCCTACAGAATTGTTTCATATTTGCAAACAACTTGACTAAGCTCTTGTTAGTTATTTGCAAACTATTGAATACAGTAAATTTATGCACAACTGAAACCTAGATACATACATGTATAAAGTATACTTTTATAAGGTGCCAAGTAACGAAAGCAGGCTTAAAGATCTACCTGAGATTCAACTGGATTTCTTCCCTTCAGAAAAGCACTGGCTTCGAGTTTAGGCTTCTAAAGAAAACTATTCATCAGAGTCTGCACAAGGCCTTTTATGTTTAGAACCAGTAGTTGCAATTTGATTTGACTGCACATATGGCAGGAGTATAATAAAATTGAAAGTTTTTTTGCAACTATTTAAGTCTGATAATAGAGAAGCAGATAAGCCATCATAACTCTTCTTAAGATTACAGACACATAGGTATATGCAGATTGACTCAGGGACAAAAACATAGACATAGTTCAATAAAGCAAGAATGTTGCAATTGACTAAGTGGCAAGTTGCAGTGCTGCTTTTGCTTGACATTGAAAAGTTATTGAAACTGGCTGTTCCCAGGAAAGATTCTGGTTAAAGCTGAGCTTTTAGAAAGCCAAGGAGTGGGGTTGGACGGATGTTGAAATATGTTCCAGAAGTAAGATAGGCACAAGCTAAAGATACATAAATTTTAAACCAAATGGATGAGAAAAATGTGAAAAAGGTACAGGTGCTAGTCAAGATGAGTACTGCAATAAAGTTTACTAGACACTTCACCGTTGAGAGGGGTGCTTCTGTTCCTTGCTGAGGGAAGTTGCCTTTTGAATAAAAATTAGAGAGCAACTCATCCTTAAGACAGAATGCATCCATCAACCAAGTAGCCTCCTTTTCAGGTGTAGGGATGTCAACAAGGTTAATTCGTCGGATGTGAATATGAACTTCAGAAGGGTCCACCCCAAATACATTATCTAAGAATGATGGACACCGATTCTTATACCCAATGGTCACATCATAAACTGCAGAGAAGTCAGAGAAATAGATTGTCAAAAGAGTAAAACATAGTTATAGAATTATGTGCTAGATGAGAATTAAAGTGCTATTGTGATGGCACTCATCAACTGACAAAATCAACTCATTAAAATGATTTACAAGAGATAAAGTTCACCCCTTAGTCTTTGATTTTATATGTTAGTCTAGTTTATAGATTAGCAATGATATAGATTATCTACATAGGGTAACAAGACTCATCAGAGGTCCAGCTCTGTCCTACTGTAGCTACCAGAAACAGTTTCTTGAATTAGTATTTTAAGACATTCACTGCCGCTATTGTGGAAAGATGAAATCGATCCACATTATGAAAGTTGAAATCAGGAATTAAGCTTGCATAAGTTATTTGAAATTTTTGTTGGTGTCTAGCCATAATGACATTTGCTTTGATTGCATACTACAATTCAAACAGAAAGGAGGGAAGATAAGGAAGAGACTGAGCTGGAAGTGCAAATATATTTATGAGGAACCTACTTACTCATTGTTTTGCCTGTGCCAACAGCTTCCTCTTTGATATCATAGACATTAGGTCATTATGACTTTAGAACAGACCTAGTGGCAACTAGGCCAAAGTTCATTAATGAAATGAAACAAAATGGACAGTGGTTGTGACATTCAAGCACTTCATAAAAATAAAAAGATCAAGTGACAATTCATGGTGGCATCAAAATCTGAATTGTTGGTTATTAACACTGCCCTGGCACTGTCTAAACACACACAAAAGGAGCACACCTTCCTCTTTCAATGAGGCTGTGGATATAGGGAAACAAGGTCTCTCATGTGGTTAAGTCCTTCAGACTAAAAACAAAGTTATTCCAGGGGATACAATGCAATTTGCTACCACTGGTCACTTGGAGTGTCCCAGAACAACACATGCTTCCTTAAGTCACCATTTGAGAGAACAGTCTCATTATGCTTATTAGGTGATTCATCTATTTTTATGCTTAGTATTGAGGAGACAGGAATTTTAAATAATAATAAGAAGCAACAGCAGAACTATATGGGTTAGTTATTTAAGGCAGCAAAAGAGCACAGAATAAGAAAAAAAACAAAACCTGCATCCAAAGACCCCCTCAATTCTTCCAAGCAGGCAGAAAAGCCCTTTGACTTTGGAAGTAACACATTTTTCATGATAGGCAAGCCATTTTCAGCAGCGTACTTTTGGTTTCTTATGCACTTCTGTTCACTGCAGTGGAAAGAAAAATAGAAAGTTAATGGACTACTGCATTAGAATCATAAGAAAAGAAATAAATAATTCATTATGGACCATGGTATGGTCTACAATGGAAGTTGGTAATATTCCATATACTGGAAATTCAGTTATGAAATTTCTCTGCACACTATATTGTTCACATCACAGATCAAGAGAAAGGGGAATTACCTGAAATCAGTGCCTTCTGGGAAAAGAACAAGCCAAAGGGGGTCTCGAGGATCTTTAAAAGTTGAAAGCATATGGCACATTTTTGGTCCATCAACCTCCCACTTCCGCTCTACAGGGATAAATTCCAAAATATAGAATCCCCAACCAAATACAGGTAATTTCATCAAGCTACTCTTAAGGATGTACCTTATGTATCCCAAGCAACCTTTCCGCAATGCAAGGTCCCACAAGTACATCCAGTCAACCTCAGTTCTGTGGTTAGAAATAAGTAAGACACGTTCCCTTGCAGGGACAATATCTCCATAAAAAATGACTTTAGTTTTGTTTATCTTTTCAAATACAAAAGGCCACAATGCTAGCCAAGAACCAAAGAAGAGAGAGGTTACTTTCCGACTGTAGTGTATGCTGAAAAGTCGCAATATGATCGCACTAGGAAAGCCACAATAGAGTATCATCATAAAAGCTGTTAAAAGAAGTACTAGCAAACACATAATACCCCTAAACGCCCTTAGTAGGGTCAACGGATGGTGCTTCATTCTCTGATTCAAACATAGAGCACTGGGAACTTCCATGTACTCCTAGCTTCGTTTGATTACAACCTTAGGGTGAAAGGAAGCAGCAATCTAAGTTTCTCTTAGATGAATTTGTGAGAATAATTCACAAGACAATTAAGCTCTCTGCAACCACAACTCTATCATGACAAGACAAATCCGGGGGAACCTAGCTCTGATTTGCAAGGCCAAAGATGTCTTAAACTCCACAGAAAGAGAGTAAGGATGAAGCTCAGCAACCCTGTTTTATGTCAAAACTAAGCTAAGACAAGAATTATTGTAGAACTTTAAAATGCTAATGCAAGATGTACCACACCAATTAGTACTAAAATTCATGGGCATTATGTGCAGGAATACAAAGCACAACTTAATATCAATGCTATAAACAACAAACTTATCAGCTAAAGCAAATCAACACCAACAGTTGTCCATTCCCAGATCAAAAAGCATAAGGGGCCTGAAACTATAGATGAAGTAAATATGACGCTGGTATTCAAGAAGGTGTTTAATCCCAATCTGGGATAAAAGTATTTTGGGACATATCTATTACCAAAAGAAAGAAAGAAACAAATGAAAACCCCATTAAAAATTGAAACAGAATCCTGAATCTGCATTAATATAGTTTTGCATAAGCCTCTGCCAAATAAACAACAAAGAATATGAAGTCTGACTACACATGTGACAACACAAAAAAAATACAAGAAGCTGATGCTCAGGGTATTACTTTCAAGCTTAAACCTTGCTCACTTCAATACACGTGCAAACAACTAACAAAACAATGGATCTGGATCAGATGTTTCATTAATGATTAAACCAAACAACAAAGATGGAAATGTTCTCAAAGTTTATATCTTTAAGCTCAATATGCTGATATAGTCTAAGATCATATTGCATTTTCTCGGCAACCAAACAAAAGTTACATAATATCAGAATTAAAAAAAAAAAAAAAAGAGGGAGAGGGAAATGAAGAAGGGTGAATAGAAGAGTTACCTTACTGCTTGATGATGTAGGATTTAACAGGGGAAAAAAAGGGGAAAAATTGCTGGGAAAAAATGTGGTTTCTGCAAGAAGAAGCACGGAGGAGGATGGAAGAATAGTAGAGATTCTGAGAGAATGTAGAATGGGGGAGTAATAATCGGACAAATGGGGCTGCAAAGTGCAAAGTTCCCCAAATTACGCGTTTTGCCCATTGCAGTCGAAGCAACGTGAATTGTCCCGTGCTCACGTCCGCCTCACCCAGCATTGTCTGCACAGTTGCAAGAAAAAGAAATTAAGGAAAATTGCACCTACTGCCCATCTGGTTTGCGTAGGTGTACATTTATCATCAAAGTACAAAAATACGCAATTAATCTCATGTGCTTTAAAAGGTCTCGCGGGCTTTAAAAATATAGAAAAGTATAGTGCAATTTAAAATATACAACTTAAATTATGAAAATATGTTATTGATTATTTGCAGTTTATAAAATATGCACTTAACTTCTTATATTTTTGGGATTAAAAGTATAAAAAAATATTTATCAACTAAATTTGTAAGAAATTAAATAGCAAAATACTTTAAAATTATGTTTTTTAATAAATTTTCATTAAAAAGTTAAAATAACTTAATTTTTGAAATAAAAATAATTTTTATAGTGATACTTTATTAAAATGAGTATCACTGGTAAATATTAATATTTTAAAAATAACAATTTTGCTACTTTCCTTGGCAAATTTAGTGATTGATTTTGCAATGGCAGTATTTCATTGTATACTACAAGCAATTTAAGACAAACTATTAATAATCTATTAGTTTGAGAGATAGGTGTTGAAAAAAATTTTTTTTTATAAGATTCAATTCGATTTAACTTTAAAATAATTGAGATATATCAACATTTTTTAAAAACCACAAGCATATGGGAATAAAGACCGGACAACAGTTTGAGAAGGGCTTGTTGGGCCAAACCCGTGTAAAGAAGCTATTAGTGCCTTATACATAATTCTTGAGTATGGGAATTTTAGAAATTGTACAGAACTAGGTTAGAGGGGAGAGAATACATATGAGTTCTCCTTGAGAATACTTTGGAGCCCAGGCCTCAACAATAAATAGAAGGAGCCACGTAGAAAAAAGAGGTTGTTAGCCAAGCATTCTCTTTAAGCTATTGTAAATTCTTCTTGCGTCTAATGAACTCTCTTTTTTCTCCAACTTGTAACCCTCGTATTTTATACTTCGCAAGCCTAAGCCTAGCATTGGTGTCTTGTCAGAGGTTTAATACCAAAACGAGACCAACTTAATAGCTACTGTATAAATTTTTAAATGGGTCTAGTATTTTACCATCTGTATTCTGTACCCTAAAAAACACAAAGTCATTGAATCGAAGAATTCCCAAATTCAGTAGTGTTTGGAGTTGGAATGGCAAATATCAAATTAGGTAAATATGTAAACATGTACACTTGCTCACCCTCTTGAGATTTCATTTCCATTTAGCGTAAAACCTTTCGTCACTCCAAATCAACATTCTGTTCAACTTAATCCTCACATTCCTCTGCTTCAAATGCCAATGTCTCGGCGCAATCCTCCTCTGCAAGCTAAATCCAAAATACTGCGGAAATTCCTTCACCTCTTCCACCTTCCGATCCATCTCCTCCACCAAAAACTCGTACTTCGGCCTCAGGTTATCCTCCACGTTGTACCCAAAAATTGCCGGCATTCTTGCACAAAACCTCGCCGCCTCTTCGTATGTCAGCCCTATGCTCCTCAGGAACTTGATCTTCACTCGTAGCTTCTCCACTCTCGTGTTCAACAGAAAGGCGTTCTGTTTGCTCGGCGCATTCAGTTTCTCCACACCTAATTTCTTGAGGTAATCGAGTGTCGGTCTGAGACAGTATTCCACGCTTGAGAATAAGATCTCCGGGCAGTTAACGATTAATCCGCGAGATTCTCCGACCGATGCGTTGAGATCGGTGATTAAGAAATCGAAAACTGGTTCGATTTGGGATGGTTGAAAGTGGTCGGAGAAGAGTTGGGGACAGAGGAAGGCGATACGGGGGAAGTCGGCGTCTTGGATGCCTTTGCATTTGAGGAAGCTTACGGTGGTGAGGACTTGATCGACAGTTTGAGGGGAAGGAGTGTCCCGGGGATGGAGGTTGGGATCGATTATGCCGATTGCCTTAAGATAACGAAGATTTTCTCTATGAGAGGTGCGGAATTTCAGGTAACGGGGAGTGGCGGTGGTGGAGGCGGCGGTGTTGGGAGTTCCGGTTGGTGGTAAGAGGCGGAGGGAAGGATGCTGCATTCTGCAAGTAGAGCTTTGTGCAGTTGCTAATTGAACTTTCGTCAACGAGATAAAGCTGTTCTTGTGGAACGTGGGGCAAAAAATAGGATAAGATGTTTTTTTTAAATTTTTCCCCTTTTTTTTAAGGAAGAGAAAAATCCTTTTTTTTTTTTTTTTTTAATATTGGCATATTGCTTGTATCTTTTCATAATCCAATCCAAAAACATAGTGATATAATTACAATGTTTATGTAAAATTATAAATTTATAATTGTAATTTTTTACATTTTTTTTTTAGTTATTTTGAGATGAAAAAACGTGAATTAAATAAAGAGAAGCATCATAAGATGGGTATTAAAGGAAGAGAAATTTTACCATGCAAGTTTCTAAAAATGTATTTTTATTCATAATACTTTAAAAACCTCTACATTTTATATTAATGTGTCATGTTAAAATGTAACATTATAGTTATAGTGATGTTATCTTAGCATTTGGTGTTAGTTTTTACTTGGCTAAATACATGCTTGTATATACTAGGAAAACAAGTAACTTCCAAGCCATAACAATCAACGTATCATGATGCAACATTAAAATTAAAAGCTATGTATTTGTTTTAATTATACATTGCCTGAATAGCAAAACACACTGGCGTTGATTGTTGGTGCTTCTGTGTGAATCTAAAGTCATGCCAGTTGCAGGGTTTCTTCACGTTTAATGTCAAATACCTTAACGAGTACATCCTCAACAACCTGGTAAAATCAAGCCAAACAAAAAAATTATCAACGAATTTAGAGATAAAAAGGAGCAAAAATTCAAAATCAGCACTGAAAATCAATGGTATATATAGACATTTTGTTTTTAGATTTACAATCAAATGGTGTTTGAAGTCCATTTGTGGAAACTGGAAAGTGTGCATTTTGATCAAAGGGGGGAGACGCCACACCAGAACTAGGAAAGCTTGCAAGGCAAAGTTCAGCAATTACCTTGTCCGGTGTTGAGGCACCAGATGTTACGCCAATTGTAATGGGACCCTCTGGCAGCCAATTTTCTTTCTCGACCAGCTCCCCATGCTGATAGTACACAAAATTCATGTAATCAAAGCTAAATTTCTTAAAATTAAAATGCAGCACACTGCACTTCAAATTTATAAGCTAAAGAAACCAAAGTCAGAAAGTGGATGTTGATTATTATGCAGAATACTTACATTCAACTTATGAGCTATTTTGTTTCCAGGACCTATTCTCTGCTCGCTATCAATCCAATATGAGGGGATCCCACGATCCTCTGCAATCTCTTGAAGGTGGGATGTGTTACTTGAGTTCCACCCGCCAACTACTAACATAAGATCTAGATCTTCCTCAACCAACTTATACATTGCATCTTGTCTCTCCTACAAAAGAAACAAGTCAGCTCAAGTTTGATGACTAACATATGCTATGAACTTAATCAACTAAGGTGAGCAAGACAAGAAGGAGAGCAGCATACACCATATACAGTCTCAAATAAGACAATGTTATTCACAAATTCTGCTCCGTAATAGATAACTAAAAGGCGAGTATTGGATCAGAACATAGAATTACTTGAGTCGCATCACAAATCGTATTGAAACTAATGAAATGCTCATTGACATTTTCCACTCCATACTTCCTCATCATGGTCCTCTCCACTAATTTTCCTGTAGAATAGAAAATAACTTGAGTATAACAAAAAGTACACTTTTCACATAAGAACGAATGTAATATAATAACTTCATAAGGGCCACTAACCAATCTCTTCTGTTTCTCCCTTTAGCATTGTAGTTTGATTTGCAATGCCCACTTTTACCAGGTCCCGATCTGGATCAAATCCCTTGGAAACTGCACACTTAAATTTCTGAGGGAAATGTGGAAAAAAATTTTAAAAAGAAACCAATAATCATCTCAATGACTGCACATTGTCAATTGGATATAACAATAAGAATAAAGACACAACAAACAGAAGTCACCTCCAGAAATTCCTCTTTTGTTGAACTAGATCCATTGAGTTCACCTCCAAGAATGTAATCACAGACATATGTTGCCTGAATAAAGATGAAAACAAATTCATAAATAAGAAACATGTTAACGAAAAATTTTCTATTTAACGTTTTAAAGAATGCATTCTTCAAGAACTAATCATGTACTACAAGAAAATAACACACACCTCCACCATATTCTTCACAATTATGTATATTCCAGCAAAAGATGCAGTTGCTATTGTTTCCTCATGAGCATATTTACCATGGATTATTGAAGTATAATCACCCTTTTTGTGCTTCTCCACCATATTCCAAACCTTGAGAAAGTTTCAAGTATAAGAAAAGAAAAATTGTTAGAATAAAGAGAGATATCAAACATAAAACCAAAGTAGGATGAGCACTAAATCATAATGCCAGCAAATTAGCACTTATAGAGGGTACCTTAGATACCCATGGACATGTTGTATCAACAATTTGTACATTTTTGTTGTTCAAAGCCAACATCTCATCAACTGCAGCTCCAAAAGCAGGCAAAATCACAACGTCACCCTTATCTACAACATCAAACTGCTTGTTCCCTTCCTCAATAGGAATGTTTTTAACTTCCATCTCCTCCAAACGCTGTCAAAAGATGGAAGAAATGAGAAATATCAGAGTGAGAGTGAAAACTCAAATTTGAGCTCCCAACAATGTCAAACTCTGTAATCATAGATGTTTTGAAAAATCTATTCACCTTATTAACGGTTGGGTTGTGAATAATTTCATTGGTAACCCAAATTCTCTCGTCTGGAAATTGCTTTCTTGCCTCGTAGGCAATCTGGACGGCCCGCTCAACCCCCCAGCAGAAACCATATGCTTCTGCCAATTTCACAGTAGTATTTCCCCATGTATACACATTCCCATTTTCCTTCAACTTCTTAATGATATCACCTGAAGATTTTCCAGTACAAAAACAAGTTCAACATACATCAACCCAATAAAGGAAATTGAAAAAATACAACTCTCTAAGAATTGGTGAACCACGATTTCATTTTGCACCGTATGTATTAATATATGAAATCAAATTGGAAAATTAGAGAAACTCCAAAAGAACTGGGTAGCGTACCAATTCTTCAAAACTATTGCATATTAATCTGAATTTTGATGTCAATAATCAGCTTAATTAGCTCTAAAACTGTCTAAAACAATGAATTTCCATTGAATTCAGCTGATTCTCTCAACGATCACATTCAAAACTTACTGGTGTACTCCCGATTCATGAGCTCAAGAGTCTCCTCCTTGTGACCGAATCCCTTCCGGTTATAGTTCTTGCTCCTAGTCAAGTTATGCCTAAACACCTTGGCATCAAAATTGTCGGAATCCACAGCGACAGAAGCAGAGGAGTCCCCGGAACATCTGACGGAGAGAGACTTCCTGAAAGGAAGTGCTACGCATCTTCCGGCGGGAGTGTCGGGGCCAAAGATGCCGGTGCCGAAGCAGAAGCGACAAAGTTGAAGAGAGGTCGCCATTCACGAAGAGTGGAGGAATGGCGCACGTTAGCAGCTAGTGGGGAAGTGGCTATAGTCTCTATTCTCGTGGCGGATGGCAATGGGTGGCAGTGCATTTTATCCTTCTGGTATATTGCGTGCCACGTTTTCTTTGGACAAAATTAGTTTGTTTACACTTCCGGTATTTTAACGTATCGCTATTCAATAATCATATTATGAATCCGACTAATTATATTTTTTTATATTCATAATTATATTTTTTTATTTATAAAAAAAATTAAACCCCTTCAACTTAAATTAACATGTTTTTTTTGTCACTTTCAGTCCTTTTATTAAGAGAATCCTTACTTTGGTCATGATTTCGGACTCTTGATTGTCGTTCTTTTTTTTTTTCCTTCGATGGGTATTTTTTTTATATAAAATGGGCTGTATTTGTTTATGTAATTTAAATCTTAAAATTAATTATCGAACAGCAATAATAAATAAAATTTTACTTTTTCTATGTATTAATAATATTTTAATAATTTTAATACTCAAATTGCAAAAGAAAAAAAAAATCATATTACAAAATATTTCTTTTTTTTTTTTAACAGGCAAATTCTCTACCTTGTACAAACCTCAGGATTTGTATATGCCTTTTGAAATTTTAAGTTTTTACGTACACCTACTTTAAAATACAAGAGTCTAAAACCACTCCAAATCCAATCTTCTGTTGCAAGCTCCCGAGCTGGTTCTAACAAAGCTCATTGGCATCAATCTCTGCCCCTCCCTCTGCATCACTATTAGCACTGAAAAAGAATATGCACAGGCTGGGGAAGTGAAGGAAACAAGGTCTGCATCACCTTATATTTCGCAAACTCAACTACATAATGCTGCAAAATGCAACTGTCTATAGAAGATCATTAAATGTTTAAAAAAAAATTGAAATTTGGATTTTCATGCTCTGATTGTTGTTGTGATTTTCTCTCTCAGTTCTGATGAGTGGAAACCACCAGCGTCCCTTGCCCCTTACAGTCCCAAATACGAACCTTTGTTCTTTAACTAATGGAGCTTGGAACTTGCAGCAGATATCAGTGAAGTTGGTTTATCAAACAAATATTTATGGTCATCTTTCAAAATGGGAGGGGAAAACAGTACCAATTGATAAAAACTGCCTCAGGAAATGGAACAATGCCATTAAGGATTAGTTCAAAAATCCACACATGACCAAGAGAGAATAACAGAAGTGTGGCCAAATTACATTATTACCAAGTGCAATAGAACTGCATAATAAGAAATCATGTCCGGGCAGTTTAAGTATTACAGAAAATTAACAAAAAAAAAAAGGAACAAACCATTCACCAGAGATATTTCTCTCTGCCAACTAGAAATGCTTGGAAGATCAACTGCACGGCTCAATCATCTGTTGTGTCTGAACGGATAGCTGACAACAAACCAGCAAATATTTTTAATAAGAATACTTGTTGAGAGGAACAAAATTACTCAAGTACATACCCTTACCTACACAATGTAGAATATCTAAAAAACTACATTGCTCCAGCTTTATGATTTTCCAATCTATTTTAGTAAATAGTTTAAATCAAGGTGTTTTAATACCAAATCATATATCTCACTGTCACCCATTTCCTCACATAACAAAATACATATCCTCTATTATAGTTATTTGTGGTGGAGAAATAATCATTTACTTTCTTCTAGTTTTTTTGGAATTGAGTACCTCACTGGTCCCAAAAATTATGGCAAACAGGAACAAATGAATAACAAAATTTTATAACCATATGGCATGAAAGTTGCAAAAAGATGCCAATAGTTAGGCATACATGCTTCTTTCAAATCCAAGATTCAACTAAAGCAACAGAATTTAAAACCAGTTTCTCAGCTTAAAACTGAAAACAAGCAAATGCTTCCTAGGAAACATCTCAAATGGAATGAGATACTCTACACCACAATCTTGTCATGTCATATTTCTCCATTTCACACCCAAGAAGACTTAAAATTAATAAAAATAAAAGAAAAACATTCCAAGTCTTGCTTATTTTTATAATCAATAGAAAATAGAGTAAAATCTTGTCACCTGATACTTTAAAAATTGTTAGAATGAATAAAACCCTAATCTTAATGAACTGAACCTGATGATAAATTAACATGGTGACAAGCATTATAAGAAATAGTTGCAAAGGAATCCCTCATACTCAATGAGTGTCAGTTGTTGCAATATAAAGAAAAGCTTAAAAAGACATTAACATCCAATTTGATTGCAAAAAAGACATATTCGACAGAGATATCCAATGAGAGAGAGGCATACTGGGCTTTTCGGGCTTCCCATCAGTCCACTTGGAGATGGCAAAATGGACCTTCTCACGATTCAGGGCTTCAGTCTTGTAAGGTTCCTTGAGGCAGTTTCTTACCAGATTTGCGCATATGTTTGAATAAGTAATATATGTCATCCCTGCTGCACGCCAAAATGGCACTGCTGCATTTGATGCCATTTCTTCTTCAATTCAGCTGTTGGTAGTTGTGGTGAGAAATGGAGACAGTTAGGGTACAATTTAGTATCAAAGCCAAACACTTCAGAAACAAAAGTCAAATACACAAACTTGAAAACCAAAAATTTGTTGCCAACTTCCCAAAATTAGAAACAGAACTTTAAAACATATTTGGTTGCCTTCTTATTATTATTAAGCTTTAAACAAAACAATTTAGCATAATTGTCATTGAAACCATGACTGAGTATGATTATAAACTTTGTTCCAATCAAAATGAAATGAAACAATATAAAATCAGTTCATCCCACAATTATAACCACTGACTATAATAATTCTGTTCAATTTAAGAGTTTAACCAAACGTCAGAAACAACACAACTCTCATCTTTTTAACAGATTAAGCTTTCATCCACAAAAAACAACATGATCCACAACTCTTCATCTACAAATATTAAACAAGTTTTCTTGTCTACACATCCACAGATAATGATACAAAAACCCACACATGCACATTCACACAAACTGACCCAGAAAATTTCTGCTGGCAATCATCTCCTACTAATGTGAATGCCAATACCCACAACAGGTGTAGCCTAATATCAAAATGTATATACAATTTGAACCGGATTTTTCTTTAATCTAATGCACAAATCAACTACAGGGTGATGGTATTAGGATACACCAACTGACCCAGAACATTTCCACTAGCAATCACCCTCGATTCATACAAATGCCCAATGCCCAACAACAGATATATAGCCTGATATCATAATTTAGCCAAATCGAGCAAATCAAAGATGAAAGAAATCGCGAATCAACAGACAAAATCCTTAAGTTTGAGCAATAGAACGAAGAAAATGTACTGAATTGCTCATGCGTAGAGAATTCCTAACCCTAAACTCGAAAATTCGGTTGATTTTGACCGAAACAGTGATGATTCAACAAACACTCTACCTCAAGGAATCAAAGAAATGAGTTATGGAGATAAAGTTACCGGCTTTCTGATGATGACTTGGGCTTCAGAGCGAACTGAGAACTTGGAGAGAGGCAAGAGTCAGGAGAGAGGAAGAGGTGAGGGGCAGCCCTTTATACCTGAAAGAGAGAAATAAAAAGTTATGAAGCAAGCGACCATTGAGATACGATCTTCTGTCCTTAAAAAAAATTTGGCTTTTCCAATAATTAGCCCTCTATTTCAGTCCTTTAACTTCCCTTTGTACCTGTCTTAGCGCCGATGCTCAAGAAAATTTAATTACCATCTCTATGGTAATCTTTGCTGCATCTTAATTTATTTCTACCACACATCATGAGTTTGGGCAATAGCACACAAAGTTCACATGTTCCACTTCTCTTAGTAATTTCTACAATCACTTCGTGGGATTTTTTTGGGAAAAATTTCATAAATACTTTCCAAAATTCCTGATGGAATTAATAATTCTAATTTTAGTTTTTGGGATTTATCACACCTCAATCACAATAAAAAAGGCAATGAGAGCAATCATAGGATCAATATGAAACTAAATGCATAAGGAGATCAACATGCCATTTACAAGAAAAACCTTAAATAGGAAAAAACCATGAAAAATGATACAAATCCATTTTTAATTGTCCTAATTCAATTTCTACTTAGTTTTTCTATTGAATTTCTCAATTTCAATGAAAGCATAAAAATATAAAAATAAAAATAAAAAAGAGAAAATAATAATAGTAAAATAGAAAATAAATAACCGAATAGATTTAGTAGCAAAAACTTACAAAGTTTAACTGTTTTCCGGGGACTTCCATGGTGAAATCAAAAGATCATGAAGGGACAAATTGAGATAAAAAGGGACTTGCATGAACAATCAAAAGGTTTAAAGTCAAATCGAAAACCATTCGAGGTTAAAGGGTATCGGAGCAAAGAATGTTTTAACGAGGGTCTTGTTTACAACTTTTCCAATTCTATCCAAAAGAGTAAAAGAATGGAAAATCGCTAGAGGAAGGGCTTGAACCTTCGACCTTGTGGTTAACAGCCACACGCTCTAACCAACTGAGCTACTCCAGCTTTTGATCGGTTTTTTTTAAATATAATTTATATATAAGAATACGATTGTACAATCCGCACAAGGAGAATCGCTGTTCTTTATATGGTTGTTTTTGCTATTCAGTTATCTGTTAATATATTCATAATACAAACATCGTTTATTTATTTAAGAATAAATGTTTGTTGATGGTTAAAACTCTTGTAAACTATTTTTTCGTTAATCTAGTATCATATTTTTTTTGTTTTCCAATTTTGGGTTTAGGTGGCTAGAGAATCAAATAAGAGAATTAGTTTTAAACCTAAGCAGACAATCATGCTAGAAACTCTAAGAAATGGAGTAGGTATGTTGCATTAAGAGAATAAGAACTCTAATCCCTCAGTAGTTAGAGAACAAGACGATAGATTTTAGCCATATACGGTAGGGCGGTATCTTCACTTAGTTATTTTATTGGATTGAAGTCTCATTAATAACAAGAGAGATCAAACGATTCTATTTTAAGCACTAATGTAGGTATGGTGGTCCAACACAGGCAAGAGTGTGTCACTAGCTTGGTTGGGGAAGAATGTCATGCTAAATAGTCTATGAAATGGAGTAGGTATGGTGCAGTGTGGACTTTAATCTCACAGTGGATATGGTGATCTCAAGCCACATATAGGTTGAATTTTTCACTTAAACAAAGAGTTTTTCGGGTTAAGGGTCAACATGTAACAAGTGAAATCAAAACTATCCAATTCCTCATTCAATACTATTAAATTGGTAGATAGAAGTTGACATGGTTAATGAGTACTGCCCATCAGAAATGAGTAGCTATGAAAATAACGCTTCATATTGCTTTAAGAAAGGGCTTAAAGGGAGATTCAGGTGAAGCTAATAGCCAAGAAATGAAGCCCGAAGTGTAGGAGAGGATCTCTTACTTCATCAGACTGCTCAATGGGTTCACCTTCTTATGGCAGTTTTACCACATATGAGAAGATTCATTAGAAGCATGTAAGTATAGATGTTTTTCATTCCTTTTACGAGTTATACCTGTCTAAAAACCATTTGAACTAAGCTAGAAATTGGTTTCTTTCTTCTTCTTCTTCTTTTTTTTGGTCTTTTGACTTTGAAGGGAAATGAAGAGATTGTCACTCTAGTTAGATGGTCAAGCAGAATCCGAAAACAAGTAGCTTCGCCAATATGACTGAAGAAAAATTCTATATCCATATCACTCACTACCATTGCATAGTGTTAGGTTCTCTTTGTATTTTGATGATGATTTTAAACCATGATTCAAAAGAGTTTAATCTATTTTTGTGCTAAGTGTGCAGGAAAATTAATCTAAGATTTCTAATCTTTCCCCACGATTAGAATTAATTCATGTTCCTCCTTGTTCAGAGTTCTAGGTTCGAACCAATTTATTTTGGTTCGAATCAATCTCGGACTTTTGTTTTCCGAAAATGGTTCGAAGCAATATTTCTGGCTTCGAAGCAAAAATTCTGGAAAGTTCAATTTTGACAGCTCAACTATATGTTTTCTCTTAATGGGTCATAGGGTATCTAAATGTCTTAGCACTTTCCAAGACAAGTCAAAAGAATAAGGTGGAACCTAATTGGAGCAATTGTGAGGTGGCTTTGAAGGTCTAAATGGGCAATTAATGGCAAGGCTCTCAACCAATTATTAAAACACCAAAAATCAGATCTGGAGACAGAGAAGAGGGACGAACTGCTATAGTAACAAGAGTTTGAAACAGTTCTGGGTTTCCTTTTTCTTCTTCTTGTAAGCTTTTGGGTATATTGTCTTACAAAGGTTTTTGTATTCTTCTTGGATTGGGTTAATCCTTGAAGGGGTTGAGTGAGTTGAGATTCACTTGTGAGGGTTTAATCTTGCACCCGCAAGCAAAAGGTTGTTTCGGTTTAATCTTGCACCCGTAAGCAAGAGATTTCTAGTGGATTGAACTCTTGAGCAAGGAGGCTTGGGGAGTGGACGTACTCCGAGTTGGAGGAACCACTATAAATCACGACTTGATATTCTCTTCCCTTTCTTTTTATTTTTCTACACTTTATTTGCAAGATTGCAGTTGATTTTTGTTTTATTTTGCATAACAAATTATACATATATATTGAAAACTTCATTCACGTTTTTATAACGGAATAGAATAAGTTTAATGTCTTAGGAATTGGCTTGGGGTAGCTGCTGGGATTTCACATAGCTCTGCAATTCTATGAGTGGAGGAAAACAACTTTGATTGTATGATGACATAGGTAGATTTTTTTCTTGGCCATGTATGCTGACATAGTTTAGCTTGCTTGTTTTTTAAACACCCTTGTCATTGGATGTCTGTCTTCACTGATTAATCCACTTTCATACTTCCTTCTGTTCGAACATGGCTTCTGTTAGCTTGTATTAATGCTTCGCGGCTTTAATGAGATGTTTCTTTTGTTCTCTGACATGCATTACTTCTGTTTTTTGTTTTCTTCTTTCTTTTATTACAAAGCATTTCAAATAGGTTGCGCTAAAACAATGTTGCCTACCTCCCCATTTCACAATTCTATTTTATTTTTTGTTAAAAAATTTCTACAATTTCCTAGTTACTATGTATGTAACATCCAAGAAGCTATCTCATACAATAGTTGTACATTATAATTAGTCAATCATAATTTGACATGTTATTAAAAGTAGAACTCCTTTGACATCTTCCCTTTGATATCTTTAAGTAAGTGAGAAAACCTTTTTTGTTTTTTTAAATAATATTATAATTTTGATATAGAGAGAAAATGTTTACTTTTGTTTGTGTCAACATTTTAATTAATTTGTCTGCAAAAAAGGGTGATGAATCCATACATCATCTTATTTCTCTCAGTTTACATTTACCTGCTGTCTGTGGGAAGTTGGTATATTCAATTCACTACTGCTCATGATGAAGCGTGCAGAACAGAGTGTTGATGAATATTCCTCCATCAATACCTTGTGTTTCCAAATGCAAGCCACACCAGAGTCAGCCACCTATGGGTGGATTTGTAAACATTAAGGTAGATGGATCATTTTGTGCAAAAGAGACGAACTGGTTGTGTGATTAGAGTTGAATGAGGACAATTTTTTGGGTGCTTTCTTAAGTTTAGAAGAAAAGTGTAAAAGGGAGTGTTGTTAGTGGGATGTAAATAAGGTGGCCCATGATCACGAGTTAGCAAAAGGGGCACTAGTTTTGTCTAGTGATATCACATGGGAGGCAACAATTTATTCCCCCTACTGTTGCTGCTTTACTGGCAACTGATATGTATTGCCTTATCTTTGAAGGTGAATAAAGTTCCAAACTAAATTTTTTTTAAAAAAAAATTCAATTTGGGTTTTTTTTTCTTTTAGGCCCAGTTTTTTTCCTTATTTTAATTAAATTTTTTCCCAAAAAAAAAAACATAATATAAATAAAATAATTGGGAAACCCTCGGCCATCAACTTCTGGACGTGCCGGAGTCGTTATCGGGCATGACAAGAAGTCATGCGGGCTCCGCCCACGCAGGTTCGAATTATTATTATTGCTTTTTTTTTCTCAGAAAATCATTATCGTCTTTGTTTTTTCTTCTCTAGATTAATTAAAAAAAAAAAAAAGACAGCGAAAATGCTATCAGCTTGATTTTGAATTTTTTTCTTTAACTTAATTACACAATTTGTAAATACCAGGACAATTAAACAAGATAAGGGCTAGCAATACTTTCTTTAATATTGTCTTAAAGGGTGTTTGAAATAGTTAAAAATTTAAAATTTTATATTAAAAACCTTGAATTTAAATTTTGGAATAAATGATGAGGAATTAAAGAAAATGAAATGATATTCTTATGGCATAATTTATCATTTAATATACTAAAAAATATTTTTTAATATTCTTTACATAATTAATTCACATAACATATATGTTTTATTATTAATTCACACATAAATAATTTTTAAAATTAAATAACTTTGTCTTTCATGCTGTAAACTTTTAATAGAAGTAAACATGTGTTTCAAGAGTTGGTATAAAATTCAACTTCAAATGGGTGAGGATACTCTCGGGACAAGATTTGTTGCATTATACAAATTTTGTCTAGTGGGAATAGAATGACAAAATAGCCTCTTAGGAATGTTGAGTTGTTAAAAGTTTGAATTTTTATATTACATATTTCAAGTTTAAATTATGAGAAGGATAAAAATAGATGGGTTAATTATTGTCATGGTTTTAATAGTTAATAATATATATTTTTTATCCTTCTCATAATTTAAGAATTAAAAAATTTTAAATTAAAAAAATTAATATTAATTTTAGTATTGACGTAAAGTGGATAAATTTAATTGTATAGTTAATATATTAAAAGTCAATTTTTATTTTTTTAATACAAATGTATGATAAAAATATGTATTTATTATATTTTTAAGGCATATATTTAAAAAACTCAATTGACAATTATACTTTTATATTACATTTTTTTAATTTAAAAAATTTTAATTCTTAAATAAATTAAATAATATAATTATCAATAAAAATAAAAAAATGTGATATCATCCATAAAAATAAGTTTAAGAAGAAATATATTATCCTTTATTATATAATGAACAACTAATCATTCAATGTGAGAAAAAATACATAACAAAACTTATGTACAAAAAAAAAAAAAAAAAAAAATCCTCTACATAAGTTTTGTGTATGATTCTTATATTGCAGAGGCCACATTTCTTTTATATTCAAGCCACACCTAATATATATTTTTTAATAAATAACGTAATTCAATAAATAGACTAAAATTGTACTAACAACCCTTGATAGACTAACAATATGCATCAAACACTTTATCTTATACTAAGGTTCAAGTCTTTACGGAGATAATTGTAATATTTATCTCTTCCCCTAAAATTTTCCTTGGTTCAAAGAAAAAGGAAAATAGACTCAGAACAATAAACCCTATATTTTCTGTATTTGTATTTTAATAAAATAAAAAAAATGTTTCTTAACTTTAAGATCTTAAAAGAAAAGAACTAAAGAGAGATCTAATTATGATAGACTAATTGGCAATGAGTTATCTTTGTCGACCAACTTTGATTAGGGATTGTTAAAATTAACATGTTTTGATAGTTAAAATATTAGATCTTTTATAAAAGTATTTAACTATTTTTAATAAATAAATATATAAATTTAAATAATTTTATAAAAAAATTTGATATTTTAAATATTAGAATGTTATAATTTTACTCCTTTTTTTTATTATTTAAAGAGATTAATGAATCTCATAAATTTTTTAGCCTAAACATGAGTCATTATTAAATTGAAGAAATGAATCACATTAATTCTATATATATAAGACAATAAACACCTCTATTTTCTAAAATTAGAAAAAAAAATGATTTAGCCATTTATTTATAATAATCAACTACTATAAAAAAAGAATAAACGTATTTAGTTTTCAAAACTGAAAAAACTACTATAAAATTTATTCATCTATTTCTAATCATAAATTAGGGTGAGTGTCATGGACGGTTACATAATACCGCCAAAATCAACTTTTTGGTTACTCAAAATGCCAACCCCAACAAAAATAGTCACCCAATTTTGTCAAAATCAATATTTTTGGTCTCTAACTCATAACCCTAATAAAATGGTCCCTCAACTCTTTGAATTGTCTATCTATATGTATATATTTTTTCTTTTTTTCCTTTGTACAAAGGGAATTGGGGTTAAGGGGAAGGGGAAACGGGGGCAAGGAGAAGGGGAAATGAGGGCAAAATGGTTTAAATTTCAGTAACATAGGTGGAAACCCTATATAGTAACCATACGAATTATACATTAAGATATGAATTGTCTATTTATTAATCATAATAATTAAGAATAATAAAAATATATAATAATACTTAAAATTCTATACTCTAGCTCTTTTACTATATGCAAATATTAGTGATCTAATCATATACTTATGGCTGAGAGAATGTATAACTCTACTAATTAATTATAATGATTTATTTACTTAGTTATTACAATAAAAAAAATTAAAAATCTTGTATAATTTATAAACTAATGTTTCTAAACTCTCTAATCAATTATTTAGTAAGAAACTATAAATTAATAAAACTAGTTAAACCAAACACACTTCATATGATTTCAGATCATATTGATGTTTTCAATTTTTTTGCTATTATTAACTTATCAAAATATTAATGTTGGCAAAGTTGAGTGACTATTATGTTAAAATTATGAATTAAGTTACCGTAAATATTGATTTTAACAAAGTCATTCTAAATTGTACGTACCATATTTTTTCTGTAATAAAAAATAAAAAATAAAAAAAAAAGAAGAAAAGTATTTTTGTTGTCCTCAAAGAAATCACGGCAGATGCTGTAAGCAGCAGTCCAGACTCCAGATACTTCTGGTAGCTCGAATAGTAATATACTAATATTTATCGGTCCTCTTCAACCTCTCCGTTTCTGTTTTCTGTTATCCAATCCAATTCAATGTCTTAACCCAAGATCTTCAAGTTTAAGCAACAAACTGCGTAATCGGGTTTAGGTTTTTGAAGTGGGTAAGCCACTCTATGGCGGCCACATCGCAGTCCCTCCGCTTCTTAGGTTCTGCTGCTTCTGGGCCCGGCGGCTGTAGTTTCGACGCTCTCAACCGGATTCTCGCTGACCTCTGCACTCGGGGGAACCCCAAGGTAATGATTTGTACGTTTCTTTGTAACTTTCTGTTTGATTCTGAGAGGAGGCTAGGGAGAAGGAAACGGGGGTTTCCGTGCAGGCTTTTGAGTGATTAGGTTTTGGGGGTTGTTTTCTGTTTTTTGTTTTTTTTTTTTCTAGATGGAGGAGTGGAGTTTTTGTTGTTTGTTGTTGTGGGAAGCAAGTTCCTTCATGTTTTTCTTTGTTTAGCTTGAAAATTTAGATCTTTGATTCTTTTCTGAATTTATATTTTATGGTGGGCAGGAAGGAGCTTCATTAGCTTTGAGGAAACATTTGGAGGAAGAGACTAGAGATCTTAGTGGGGAAGGATTTTCCCGTTTTATGGATCAGTTGTATGATCGAATTTCAAGTCTCTTGGAAAGCAATGATGTTGCAGAAAACTTGGGAGCTTTGAGAGCAATTGATGAATTAATAGATGTGACACTTGGGGAGAATGCGTCCAAGGTTTCAAAGTTCTCTAATTACATGCGGACTGTGTTTGATGTCAAGCGTGATCCTGATATATTGATCCTTGCTAGTAAAGTTCTTGGTCATCTAGCTAGGGCAGGCGGAGCAATGACTGCGGATGAAGTGGAGTTTCAGGTTTATTTGTCCTCCCTAGTTTTCTACCATAATTTTAGGGATTATCCTCTTATATGCATTGTTTTCTTAGGTCAAAACAGCCATGGATTGGCTTCGTGGGGACAGAATAGAGTATCGTCGTTTTGCTGCTGTCTTAATCTTGAAGGTAATTCTGATGTGTTTTCCATGTTCAATATCTATTTGCTAATTGGATGATACCTATGGATAAAGGATTTTTATTTTCTGAATTTAAAAAAGAAAAGCATCTTATATCACCTCAAGGTTTTAGATTTAAGTATCATCTTGGGGTTTCTTAGTTTGTTTAGTTGAAAATTTTCACTATTCTCTTATAGCTAAGTATGCACGTATTTTCATTACTCTAGGAAATGGCTGAGAATGCTTCTACAGTATTCAATGTTCATGTTCCTGAATTTGTTGATCATATTTGGGTTGCATTGAGGGATCCAACATTGCCTGTTCGAGAGCGTGCAGTGGAGGCATTGCGTGCTTGTCTTCGTGTTATTGAAAAACGTGAAACACGCTGGCGTGTGCAATGGTTAGTTATTTGCAAAGTATCTTAAATTTCTTTCTTCTATAAATTTTTTCCTAAAATAGTAACTCAATTAACTAGTGGCTTGGGATGTGGGACTTTGTAAATGAGGTTGTTGGAGAGTGGGATTTTGTCTCTTGTTTTAGATGCTGAGGAATTTGTTGAATATGTTTTGTGCTTCCTTAGCTAGCTGTTGCAAAGTGGTTTTATTTGTTAACTTTTCCTCTATTGGTGGAAGTTACTTTTACACTGTACTACAGAGTCTGATTTAAGGGTCTATTATCTTGCTTGGCTTTGTAATGTTCCTTAGTTTTGCTTGTTTATTGTCAACTGTAGATGGGTAGAGTTCAACCCTGCCTTCCTTGATAAGTTAATGACCTTTGGTTTTGCATGTTTATTGTTTAGACTTCTGAACTTGAATTTTAGCACATTTGCTTCATTATGTTCTACGTTTAATTATTTAGTGTTTTGACAGGTATTATAAAATGTTTGAGAGTACACAAGATGGATTGGGTAAAAACGCTCCTGTTCACAGCATACATGGTTCTTTACTGGCAGTTGGAGAGCTTTTGAGGTTGGTAATGATTGTCTTTTATTATTTTGATTAATGAAAAATGTTTTTCCTTCGATATTGTTTTGTTTTAAATCCTTTAGCAATGTAGTTTTGCCCTCTTTCTATCTTCTTTTTTCTTTTTCTTTTTCTTTTTCTTTTTTGTTTCTTTTTGGGAAAGGGGGGGAGGGGGGGCTGTATACTTTCAATTCGTCCTTTTTACATTTCTTTTTTTAGCAGCTTTGTCATGATTATTTGATTTTGCCCTTTGTCATTGTGATCTGTTCTGAAGTTTTACCTTTCCTAAGATTGTTCCGATTAAAATAACTCATTAACTACATGGCTATTTGACTTTGGCTTGATGTTCTGCTCGCCACATATTGAGTAGCAATAAATTAACTCCAGCTTTTATGATGGAATTCTATGACATCTTTTTGCAACATAAATGTTCCTTAGTCTTATGTGAAATATTTTATAATGTCATATGATGTGGTAGACAATTATTGTTTTATTATAAGCTGGGGTGCTTCATTAATTAGCCATCGCTTTCACTTCAAGATTTGATTGATTGAATTGTTTATGTAAATGCTGTCCATTTTGCAGGAACACAGGTGAGTTCATGATGTCGAGGTACAGAGAAGTTGCTGATATCATTATCAAATATCTAGAGCATCGTGATCGACTTGTTCGCCTTAGCATAACTTCATTGCTTCCTCGCATTGCTCATTTCCTACGTGACCGATTTGTATCAAGCTACTTGACGGTTAGTAATTGTTGGTCCATATTTAGTCATATTTTTTTGTAGCTGGCATGGAAGATTACTTATCTGGAGCCTTTTGATCCACTAGCAGTTAAACCAATTACGTCTTTGTGAAACCATGATGTGTTGCAGATATGCATGAATCACGTTCTCGCAGTTCTAAGAATACCAGCTGAACGTGCTAGTGGATTTGTTGCCCTTGGGGAGATGGCTGGTGCTTTGGATGGGGAACTGGTCCACTATTTGCCGACAATCACTCCTCACTTACGTGAAGCAGTAAGTCTTCTGCTAGGATTTTGGTTTCTTTTCAGTTTTATCTTCTCTGGTGGTTCAAGTTTATTAATTTGTGTTGTTCTTCTTTGACAAGGAGCATTGAATTCTAACTGTTGCCCTTTTTTTCCCTTGATAAAACTGTAGATTGCACCACGCAGGGGTAGACCCTCACTTGAAGCTTTAGCTTGTGTTGGGAACATCGCAAAATCCATGGGTCCTGCAATTGAGTCCCATGTCCGTGTTCTTCTAGATGTTATGTTTTCTGCTGGTCTTTCCCCTACACTTGTAGAAGCACTTGATCAAATTACTGCTAGGTATACTGGGTAGTGATGAAATGAACCTCCCCTTAAATGCATTTGGTTACTGCTTGCTAATGACATTTTCAAAACTGGTTTCTGTTCCAGTATTCCATCTCTGTTGCCAACCATTCAAGATCAGCTGCTTGATTCAATCTCCTTAGTTCTTTCAAAGTCACATTATTCTCAGGCAAGGCCACCTACTGCCTCAGTTCGAGGCAATGTAGCAAACAGCCCTCTGCAAGTGTCAGAGCATAGTAGTCCTGCACTTGTTCAACTTGCTCTACAGACTCTGGCTGGCTTTAATTTCAAGGTATGTGTAAATATAGTGTACAAGAGGCCTACTCCGAAACTTCAATTTAGTACTAAGTCCATTATATTGTTTAGGGGCATGAACTTCTTGAGTTTGTGAGAGAATCAGTTGTTATTTATCTGGACGATGAGGATGGAACTACACGAAAAGATGCAGCCCTTTGTTGTTGCAAATTAGTAGCAAATTCCTTTTCTGGTATGATGTGTACGCAGCTTGGTTCTATTCGGTCAAATCGAGGAGGAAAGCGCCGCCGACTTGTTGAGGAGGTCTGCTTATATCAATATTATTTTTAGTTAATATATATGTTTATAATGTGCATGGGCTTTTCCTAATAGCTGGCACAAAGTTTCTATAAATTATATTAATTATTTTCCCATGCTCGCCATGTTTGTGGATGTTCATTTGTCGTGCTTGTTTATACATTTTTCTTTTTTACTTCATTTTCTCCTCCGGTTTGTTTCTCATGTTGCATGAGTTTCAAAATTGTCCATCTTGCACAACTATAAGAAGTTTGAAAAATGGAGGGAGGAGGAGTAGATAGGTGAATTACCTGGAACACTCTTAGGATATTAGGTTGGAAATGCTCCTCCCTCCCCACTGTTTAACATTTTGTTTGTGTTGGGTATCTGGTCTTGTCAATGGCAACAGGGTTTTGGTCAATAGATTTTGTGCTTGTGGATTTTTTTTAATCAGTGTGCTTGTGGAATGTTTGGTGTGTGTTCTTTGTTGTTGCTGTTTTTCTTTAGTGGAATTTTTATTTGCCAAAAAAGGGAAACGGCAACCGAGCGGCTGACTGTCACACCTCTCTCTCTGCAATCTCTAAGGATTACTAGGCATGGTCTCTGACTGACTATCTAGAACACTTGTGTGCATGCATTAGAGATAGATTTTGAAACTAACACAAGGAAGATTTTGAAACTGATATAAATGGGTTATTAAAGCTTGTAATATGAAATTTTTTTTTTTTTTTAAATGCTTGTAATATGTGGAGAACATGTTAGCCAGAAATCATGAAACATATGAAAGAGTTCTTAAAGGTTTTGGTAATACAAACGCATACAGTGTGTAGGAAAGCCAAGTAACAGAAAAACAGTGCATAAACCACGGTTAATTTAATTAATAAACATAAGTCTAGAGTCATGGGAAATTGGAAGTCATTTACAGAAAGCATAAGGATGATAAGATAATCTTGTTTAAGTACATGAGAAGGTAGAAATACTTAAGTTTCAGTAGTATTCATAAGGAGCAATAGCTGTTTACAATTAATATACATGTATAGGAAAAAGTGTTTGTCAGTCCTACCTCCTTCCTCTCCTAATTTTGGGATGAAGGTTGGAGAGTAGCACTGCAATAGTCATGTTTTTGGTAGATGCAGATTTGTCTAATTGCCTTACAGTACAACTTGCTGGACTTGCTTACAACTGACATAGGAAGTCCACAAGCTCCTATGAACTCTGCATGACACTGCAAAGCATAGCAGATTGCAAAATTAGCTAGGTATTCAACCTGCATGAACATAATTCACATCATTAATTCAGAACTTACTTCATTCATGTAACAGGTTCCAGAAACATAACCATACACTTACCACACAAACACATTAGCACATAACATGCATTTTCCAAAAGTCTAATATCATTTGATAGATTCATTTCTGTTTTAATTCACTTTTTAGCTATAAAGCTTTAACCTCCACTTACCACACGCAGATTAAGTAGCTGGACTTGGCAGATTTCAGCTGGGCCTGGAATTCTTCAAGTCCTTAAGCTGCTGAGCAGTGGAACTTTTCTAAAGTGCAAGGCAGATAAGAAAATCTATGTGGCCAAGTTAGTGGGATTTGATTGTTTACTGCTAACTTGTGCCCTAACAATGCCAAGTGTTAACATGCATTGTTAGTGCTTGTCAATGAAACTCCAATTAGGAAGTTTTAGAAAGTTGGGAACGCAAATACCAACTTTCTGTTTCTTCCCCTTAGGTCCTTGACCAAACAATACAGTGAAGGACTAACGGTTTTTGACTTATGAATGCAAAAATTGTTAATGCATATGCATTTTGATAGAAAGTTTCCTTCAGCACAAACCATTAGTTTTACTTGTGGAATGGAATTGGTGCGGTGAAGATAATTATTAGCGTGATCTAACTGTTTTATAGAAAAAGTGGTGAGAAATTTCCCTTGGCTAATGTTATTGTTCCTTTTCCTTTGAAAAAAGAATTATATCTTATTAGGACCCAAGAATAATATGAACAGATCAAACTAACTTGGCTTTTGCTATTATCTTAAAATATTTAGTCATTCGTTCCTAAGATGGACCAGTTATCAATGCTCACCTCTTAATTTGATGTTGGAATTTTTACAGCTAGTGGAGAAGCTTCTCATTGCAGCTGTTGCAGATGCTGATGTTAATGTTCGCCATTCAATATTTTCCTGTCTACATGGAAATCAAGGTTTTGATGATTATTTAGCACAGGCTGATAGTCTCCGTGCTGTTTTTGCTGCTTTAAATGATGAGGTAAAATTGTATCTGGTGCTAGATTAATGGAAAATGTCTAGATAATTGCTTGAGCTTTTTCACTTGTGTGGATTGTGGAAGTAAAGATTCACATTTTGTTTAATTTCATATTGCTATGAACCTAAAAATAAGATTTAAGGATATTCTAGATTCTATGTTGTTGTCTTTGCATTTCTCTTATTTAAACCATTGTAATGTTGCCACTTTAATTGCTTATTTATTTAATGGATGGATTGCTTATTTATTTAATGGATGGGTTCATCTCTATTAAAAAAAGAATTAAGTCAATTCTAAAAATAAACAACTCATCCTAATTCATCAGATACCAAATATGAAATTAGTATATCTGACCATTGAGACCGAGTGTGGGTTATAGAATGCTGGGGCGCCCTGTACAAAGGGAGTGAGTTTCAAGGAATAAGAAAATAAATCTTGAATTTTTTTATTTCCAAAATTGAATATTGTGAGAAGGAAGATTTAGAATCTCAAGCCTCACGGACTATTGAATGAGGACTCTTTTGTGTGCATGAGCAGTGAATTTCTCTTCTCCATTATCTGTACTGAAGTTATGCAAGTTGTTTATTTTTCTTTGGTTTAATTATTATGTGCTGAAATATCTAAGTTCTTTGTTCCAGTATTAGAGTTCCTTATTTTTCTTTTATATTTTTGAACCAGAATGTTTGTGTTGCAACAGGATTTTGATGTTCGAGAATATGCTATCTCAGTAGCAGGAAGGTTATCAGAGAAAAATCCTGCATATGTTCTACCAGCACTTCGCCGTCATCTAATACAGTTATTGACCTACTTAGAGCAGAGGTAATGTGAGTGAAATAAAATATGTTTGTACAATGCAGCTTCAGATTTTAATTTCTCCTTTCATTGTCAGCAGTGCAGATAACAAATGCAGAGAAGAGAGTGCAAAGTTACTTGGTTGTTTAATACGCAACTGTGAACGACTAATACTTCCATATATTGCTCCGATACACAAGGTTTAATTAGTTCTGTGTTATTTGTTATTTATATATTTAATCCCTTTCTCCCCTCTTTTCCCCCTTATGTTTGTTGGTTGTTACCATCCTCACAATGAATGTATGAATTTTTTTTCAGGCACTTGTAGCTCGCCTCCTTGAGGGTACTGGAGTAAATGCCAATAATGGCATTATTAGTGGAGTTCTTGTAACTGTTGGGGATCTTGCTAGAGTGGTTTGTAGTTTCTTTTTGGCTTTTTTATTTTTTAAGATCTGATGGTTTCACACACTGTGATGGGTATATTGGGTATTACACTAAGTTAAACAAGATTGTTTTGCTTTTCAATTCTCATTTATTAATTGCTTTCAACTGCCATTTCCATTGGTCCATTTCTTTTCAAAATATTGTTCCATGTTCTCCCTTCCACCTCTATTGGGTTAAACTCTTCCTTTTTTTTTTTTTTTTTTAATCTTGGAAAATAAGATAAGTATAATTTTTTAATAGGCTATGTATGTGTAATTTGCCATGTTTTCTATATTTAATGGTATTGGAGCTTCTTCTGATGCTATCTGATGAGATTAGTATGATTATATTATTTTTGGCTGTGACTTTTTCTAGGGCGGTTTTGCAATGAGACAATACATACCTGCACTTATGCCTTTAATTGTTGAAGCATTATTGGATGGAGCAGCAGTCACAAAACGTGAAGTAGCTGTTGCAACTCTTGGTCAAGTTGTTCAGAGCACTGGGTATGTAGGATATTTATGTTGTTTTTTGTTTTATGCACAAATGAAAGATTTTTATGTGTTATTTGTTAGGTGGCATTTCTATGTATATCAAATTTCAAACATCCTCCCATTTGTATGTAATAATACATGATCCTCTGTGTCAAACTTTGCCAGTATTTTATTGAAAATTTTAGTTACAGGTTTTAGAATTTAGGTGTCTAAACATTGACATGTTTGTAGCTTAATATTGAAAATCACTGAAAGACAACCAATAAGCAAACTCAAGATGTGAAATGGTTCAATTTTTTTTTACTTTTTGCTAATATGACGTTGCAATAAAGTTCTGTTGATTTTGGAATTTTGCTTCATGGATTGGGGAATTATGGCAACTGGGGAGCATGGAAGGTGGATTGTGGAGACAGGGTCCATGCTTTCTTTGAAAGGATGTGGTGGGAGGATCAATAGAGAGAACTTTAGATTATTTTCTATTTTTCTTTTCTTTGTAGCTGATGGGTAATATTTCAGAAAATGACTCTGTGTCATTATTGTGATTGTTATGACTAGTGTGCTTTTACTTTTTGCTTCTTTAATCATATAAATTTTTTATTAATGCTTATATTAGAAGGTATTTCATCATAGGCGAAAAGGGTATATTTACCCACTACTTTTTGTGATTATTGAACTGAACCCTTGTACTTTTTCTTGAAATAAATCTCTTCTAATACTTTGGTTGAATGAAATTAGTCCTACATATTGGTAGAAATAAATTAGCCAAAATTTAACAGATACATAATCACAAGTCATCATTCTGACGTTCCCCTTGAATACCTGTTAAGCTTTTGCTAATTTGGGAAATTAGCCAAAATTTAACATATACATAATCATAAGTCATCATTCCAACGTCCCCTTGAATACCTAATTTGGCAATCTTGGGCCTGTTTTTCTTATGAAATGACATTTTCTTTTCCTGGTTTCAAGCTGGCTACCAAGAAAGAGTTAACCAATGTCATTTGATTACTTGTAAAGAAAATTTTGTGTCATAAAGAAAGTGCCCAAAATTGCCAAATCGACAAGAGCTTGATGAGTATTGAAGGTGGAAGATGAAATGATGAGTGTCATCTGTTAAATTTTGGGTAATTTATTTAACCAAAATGTAGGAGGATTAATTTCATTCAACTTGAAAATGTAAGGAGAGATTTATTTCAAGAAAAAGTAAAGTGGTTTATTTCAATGATTATTGAAAGTAGAGGGGATTCCCTTTTTGCCTTCATCATATAGTTGGATGACTTTAAATGAAATTATTTTGTGAACTTTGAGCTAAATCCATGTCTTGTAAGTAATGGTAATTTTTATGTTGGAATATCAGTCAATATCATTTTCTGATGTTGCTGAGGAGATTTTTGTTGTATGATTTGGACAGGTATGTTATAGCTCCATATAATGAATACCCCCAATTACTTGGCTTACTCTTGAAATTGTTGAATGGTGAGTTATTGTGGTCAACCAGAAGAGAAGTTCTAAAGGTAGTTACTCTTGAACTAGAATGCCTAGTTTCTATGACTGTTCCACTATGCTAACAATATTTTGGGCTTCACCAGGTTCTTGGCATTATGGGTGCTCTAGATCCCCATGCACATAAAAGAAATCAACAAAGTCTGCCAGGGTTGCATGGAGATGTTACCCGTGCAGCTAGTGATTCAGGTCAACACATTCCAGCCACAGAGGAATTGCCTGTGGACCTTTGGCCATCATTTGCTACATCTGAAGATTATTATTCCACTGTAATACCTAGACTTATTTTTCTTCTTATTCTTGCTTGTTTTATCATTTTCTTATCCTTTCTCAATTGGATCTAGGTTGCTATCAATTCTCTCATGCGAATTCTAAGGGATCCTTCACTTGCTAGTTACCACCAAAAGGTGGTTGGGTCTCTTATGTTCATATTCAAGGTAATTTTAATTTATGGAATTTAGTTTTGTTTCTACCTTAATTATGCTATTTTCCATTTGAATTTTTAACGTCTTTTTTTCTTTGTTTATTGTTCTTTGGTGCGAGGTTAGTCAATGAGTCTTGGATGTGTCCCTTATTTGCCAAAGGTTTGTCTATTACTCTGTTGTGATTTTATAACTTTTATCCTCGTACTTTTATTTGATGATTTACTTTCTTTTTGCTTTTGGTATTTTTGTTGTGTGAGGAGTGGATTATTATGGAAGATTGTTTGTATGATTCTGTTCTTAAATCTTATGGTTGGTTTAATAAGCTACCTGGATTGGTAAATGCATTTTTTTAAAACTCTTTTTCTTTCTTTTTGTAGGTTTTGCCTGATCTCTTTCACACGGTGCGCACATGTGATGATTCTCTGAAGGATTTTATAACATGGAAGCTTGGAACTCTTGTGTCAATTGTGCGCCAGGTAATTTTTTCGTGTCTTAAAATAGTTCATACGTGTTATTTTTTCTTGCTTTCTTCTGGATGTTGATTTTAAGGTCTTCATGTGTTAATGCAGCATATTCGTAAATATCTGCCAGAGCTGCTGTCTCTAGTTTCTGAATTATGGCCATCATTCAGCTTACCAGCAAGTAGCCGTCCCTTATGTGGTTTTCCTGTAGGATTTTTTTATTTGTGGTTAAAATTTTCTTCATTTTGATTTATATATTGATAAAATTCTATCTCTTGCTGCTTTCTATCATTGTTTCTCCCTCTTCTTTTCATCAGGTCCTCCATCTAGTGGAGCAGCTTTGCCTAGCTCTCAATGATGAATTCAGAAAGTATCTCCCTGATATTCTTCCATGCTGCATTCAAGTTCTAAGTGATTCAGAACGTTTTAATGACTATACCTATGTCCTTGACATCCTTCATACCTTGGAAGTATTTGGTGGTCAGTATTCTTAACTTTTGAGACATTATATTCATTTTTATTGGTAAATTTCTTGACCTGTATTTCTAGTAGACGATATTTGTTATGCACATCATCCAGGCACACTGGACCTTTTACTTTTTTTTCTTGTTGATAAGAACTTGAAAACACACTGAACTGTTATATCTTAAAAGTGTTGTTTGTCTACAGAACTAAACAAATTGGTTCATGTTTTCAAATGACTTTTGAAAAAAATGAGTTCTAGAGTAGAGAATTGCTGTTATTGGTTTTTTATTTTATTTTTTATTTTTTATTTTTTATTTAAGTATAAGTGTCTTATATGTGGATCCTGCAAGGGTCATATTGTTTAGCTGTATTGTTATCATTTTAATTATGGAAGTAGAGAAGCTGCTTCTTGTCTATTTTATGTTTTGTATCTTTCTTCTTCTTCTTCTTCTTCATTTTTTTTTTTTTTTCATAATATGGTAACCTGTGGAGAATTTCTCATATAAAATTAAATTTTAGGAACACTGGATGAACATATGCATCTACTTCTTCCTGCTCTTATTCGATTGTTTAAGGTGGATGCTTCTGTGGAAATTAGACGTGCTGCTATCAAAACATTGACAAGATTGATTCCCCGGGTTCAGGTGGCAGCTAAGCATATTTCTAGTTAATGTTCTGTAGAAATCACTTGTTCTTTTATATAAATCTGTTTTTGCTTATATTCTACTTTTAATTTGGTCTATTTCATTCTTTTAAATCAGGTTACAGGTCATATTTCTTCTCTTGTGCATCACTTGAAGCTAGTTTTGGATGGGTGAGTTATCTGTCATCTTTATTCAAAGCTGCATAAATATGAAAACCTTTTATTTATTTGGAATGTGTAGGCCTGTCAGTTGTACTTGATTGGATGTGTGCAAGTGTGCTGCATACATATTCACATGAGCAATCTGTTCTGTTTAACATCTACTCATTTCAATCTTATCATTGGATGTCTTTTATGGTGGATGCCTTCTGCTGGTTTCTTTTTACTTTATCTGTATGTTGAACGTTTAAAGGAGAAACTTTTAGTTGAGTATTGTGAAACACCAGCCATCTGGCAGTTGCGGCCTCATGTTATGGTTGCATGACTGACATTGTCCGGTGGACTCTCTTAACATGCATTAGTCTTCATCTGATTCCTTGTCTTGGTTTATATCCTTGTAAGTTGATGACTATTGCTCTTTAGAGGTTCCAGAAGAAAGTGTTAGTTTTGTCTATTGGATTTGGGAGCTCTAGTTCTTGCTTCTTTTTTTTTTTTCAATCTATTATTCAAGTTCTTGTACTTTGCTTTGTGTATGCTATAACTATAATCTTTTATTCACAGGAAAAGTAATGAGCTTCGAAAGGATGCTGTTGATGCGCTTTGTTGCCTGGTTCATGCCCTTGGGGAAGACTTCTCTATTTTTATCCCATCGATACACAAACTTTTATTAAAATATCACTTGCGGGTCTTACTTCTCACACCTTTTGTTATAGTTTTATGGAATTCATCATATTTACTTTGTTGTTTATATTTTGATTACGGATACTCTTTGTTCAGCATAAAGAATTTGAAGAAATTGAACTTCGATCACGAAGACGTGAACCATTAATCTTGGGAAGCACAGCTGCACAAAGATTAAGTCGTAGACTGCCTGTGGACGTTGTTAGTGACCCTTTAAATGATATGGAGATTGATCCCTATGAAGATGGGAGTGATGCACAGGGACAGGTTAGAAGCCACCAGGTATCCTCCTTTGGATCCTATATTGAACCATCTCTCCTGTTTGTTTTATGCACATCTTAGTTGAAAAGATGCCTAGATTACTCCAAGATGCTATCAAGTACAATACCGGACAGGGTTTGGGGAGAAAGCTTGTTAATTTCCCTATCTATGTACCTCTTAAAATATGTTAAAGATTTTCATTGTGCATCAGTGGGCATTCACATAAACATGAGCTTGAATATTGCTGTTGGTCTAACTAAACAGAGACATACTAGGCTTTGAAATGTTATGCACTTTGTTGTCTGGCACTTCTTTGGTCACTTGATACTGTTGAGTTCAACCCTTCAATTAGCAATTGTTTTCCCTTCTACTTTGTCAGTCAGATGCCTCTTATGACAAAAAGTTTCCATGTAGGTCAATGATGGTCGATTACGCACTGCTTGTGAGGCTTCCCAGCGTTTTACCAAAGAAGATTGGGCAGAATGGATGAGGCATTTTAGCATTGACCTTCTAAAGGCGTCTCCTTCTCCAGCATTACGAACCTGTGCGAGGCTTGCACAATTACTGGTATGCTTAATCGTTTTGGTTGCCTATGCTTACTTACATCGTAATTTGGAAGTTGGGCTCTAATCTGTTCCTTTTTCAGCCTTTTGTTGGGCGTGAGTTGTTTGCTGCTGGTTTTGTTAGTTGTTGGTCACAACTGAATGAGACTAGTCAGAAGGAGTTGGTTCAAAGTTTGGAGATAGCATTTTCTTCTCCCAATATCACCCCTGAAATTCTGGCTGCTCTTCTTAACTTGGTATGCATCTCTTTAGCCTATTGGTTGTTTCCTTTCTTAATGCATTCATTTTTTTTTTTCATTTTTTTTTGGGAATTCTCTTGTACTTTGTTCTGGAGAACTGTTCTTTTTTTACTTTCCTTTATTTAGCGTTCTAACATGTGTACATTATTATTCAGTTATTCTAGTAGTTTAGTGCTTTGATTATTCTGGCATTTGAGGAAAAAGTGTAGAGATCACAGACAGGGTTGTTAAGAGAATAGCACTTTATGATTATTCCTCTAGCAAAATTCATTATTTTCCTTGAACTTATTGGTTAAAATTTCTGCAGGGGCCTTTTGAGAAATCAGAAGGATAAAATTATAAAACCAATAAAATCAAATCAAAAGTGTACCTAGTTTGTGATAGCCAGTCTTTCTCAAACTAAGAAGAGGACATTTTCCTCTTTCTTTCATGATACTTTGGTTTATCTGCTAAGTTGTTTGATATTAACTTATACAAGTAGTGTCAGAAAATTTCTGGTTTGGATAGTTATCACCATACTGCATTTTCCCTGCATCATGACCGAGATAACATTTTTCTGCATTAACAGACTATTAAGTGCCAAAAGATCAAATGCAAATGCTGGTTTGTGTTTTCTTCTCTTACTCCAAGCAGTTAAGTTTGTAATAAGCCGCAAAATTATGATCCTCAATTACTACACCATTTTTGTTCTCAATTTTGGAAGACATTTTTTTCAACCGAAAAAGCGAAAATCTGGTCTTTTCTTACCCTTTTTAATATCCTGTATAATTGTGCCTAAAATGTGGCACCTTCATTAGGCCAAAGATAAATATCAAAACATTTATAAACGGTTATTTATTGGCACGTGGTCAATTATCACCCCTCTCAAAATACCTTTGCTTTTATTTTTTGCTGGTTGCAAACAAGGTTGAAAGAGATAAAAGTGTTATTTTGAAAAAAAATGTGAGACACAACCCTTTTGTTACGGTAATCTTGATATCTGCAGTTTAAATTCTGTAATCTATTTATTTTCTTCAATACTGATTGATTTATGAAATGATTTTTATTTTTATTTATTTATTTACTTTTTCAGGCAGAGTTCATGGAGCATGATGAGAAACCTCTTCCCATTGACATCCGTCTTCTTGGTGCACTTGCTGAAAAGGTGTGCATTTCTTGAATAATCTTCTGCAATATCATTTTGTCATCTAAATTTTACAGTAGGAGGATCACCTTATATTTCATGCATCATTTTTCAGTGTCGTGCATTTGCCAAGGCACTGCATTACAAAGAAATGGAATTTGAAAATGCCCACACAAGGAAGACGGATGTTAACCCTGTAGCTGTTGTTGAAGCTCTTATACATATAAATAATCAGCTACACCAGCATGAGGTAATACACACACACATGTATGCACATACACAATTGCACATACCAATATTCTCTTTGATTCAATTTATGAATTTTGCTTTGCCTTTTTGTAGGCTGCTGTAGGAATATTGACATATGCTCAACAAAATTTGGATGCTCAATTGAAGGAGTCTTGGTATTTAACATTTACTTTTCCTGTCATTGATATGATTCGTCTTTCATATACATCTGGTGTGAGGTAATGGGAGAGATACTAGTGAATAATTCTTGTCCATGTAAGGTATGAGAAATTGCAGAGGTGGGATGATGCTCTCAAGGCATACACTGCTAAAGCTGCACAAGCAACGACTCCTCATCTTGTTCTGGAAGCTACATTAGGTCTATATCAACCTTAGCATGATCGTTTGCTATTTTTTCTGTCTTTGTTCTTTCTTTCTAATGCTTGCAAACTAGTGGTTGCTATTTAGTTTATTCACTGCTGGCTGAAAAGGAAAAAAGTTAATTAACTAATAGTTGAATGAGTTCTCTGTTTTACAGTCCAGACTGTGCCAGACTGTTAAACAGGAACAATTGGATGGGGAGGGGCCCCCAATATTAGGATTTAATGGTTAAAGTTGTGCAGTCTGGAACAGTCTGGACTGCACAACACTTTTTCGTAATTGAATTGATTGCTCTATTTAGATGGAGTATTTGGTTTTAATCAAGGCATATAACATGAGCTTGGAACACTCGATTGTCTTACAGTACATAGTTTATGATATTCTTTTTTTTTTTTGGCTGACATTGTTTATGATATTCAAATATTAGTCTTGCATATTATGAGTCTTTTGGAATACAAAAATATAAGAACCAATTGTATCAATTGTATAAATTTGATGTTCAAAATTAATTACTATTTTTTTTTGAGGAAAATATTTTACTCTTTTTTTTCAAAATGCTTATACTTTTGGATGTTGCAGTACAATATTTTTTACGACAGCTCTCTCCTGTTCTGTTTAAAATAATACCATCACGTCCCTCTTATGGCCTATATGTTGTTCAAGATGGATTGCGACTAGAACTGTCTGTTTAAACTTTGTGTGCATCTGGATCCAAGTACCAACTTTCCCATTTCATTTGCAAGGCTGCAGCTGCCTTGTGGGCATTCTGCTTGAAATTGTATCCACAAAATTTTGTTTATTTGCACCCTTGTTGATCCAAGCATGGGTGGAAACAAACACAGGCAAAATTGTTAAGTAAAAATATATTTGAGTTTCAGAAACCAAGTGTAGGAAGAACTCAAGAAAGATATTCAAGTTTCAGAAGCTAGGTGTATGTTATTGGCATACTATTAAAGTAGAAAATCATCATGTATCTTTTTCCAACACAGTAATGTACATTCCTCTGTCAGAATAGTGATAAATGATAATAATACCATTTTTTGTGCCTTTTTATGCTATTCATTATAGTTGAGGTTGTATCTGGTTTTACAGATAAGATCTAAGGTATTTGTGATGTGAGGTAATCTGATTCCTGTAGCTAGCTTCAACTTTACTAAAAAAGGAGATCTTTCTTTCCGAGTTTTGAAAGCCATAAAATCAGTTCCTTGGCATGTGATAGACCATTTCTTTATTTTTTTCCTATTAAATATTTTCCGGAAGTTTGTTTCTTGGTTAAGGTTTCAAGCATTATAATCACATCATTAAAACAGTCAAGTCATTTTCATTTATCATTTCATTAAGATTTCATCTGTCCCTTTTTCCTACTGTATTGTAATTATGATCTTGTTCTTATAAAACAATTGATCCCTTTATTGTTTTCTTTAAATGCTTAGCTTGTTACCTTTTTGTAGGACGGATGCGATGCCTTGCTGCATTGGCTCGTTGGGAAGAGCTCAACAGCTTGTGCAAAGAGTATTGGACACCAGCTGAGCCAGCAGCTCGATTAGAAATGGCACCAATGGTCATTTTTTCCTTTAATTAGTGATTTGTCAACATACAGATACCATTATTATCAAAGCATGCTCATGCTTATTGTTTTGGAATGGTTGTTCCAGGCTGCTAATGCTGCTTGGAATATGGGAGAATGGGATCAAATGGCAGAATATGTGTCTAGATTAGATGATGGTGATGAAACTAAACAAAGAGTTTTAGGAAACACTGCTGCTAGTGGTGATGGAAGTAGTAATGGTACATTCTTCAGGGCTGTTTTGTTTGTTCGAAGAGGAAAGGTACTTATTTCCTGCAGATGCCTTCACTTCTAGTTACCTTCATGTTATTCCTTATGCATGGGATCTTTTTTTCATGTATGTTTTATCAGTATGATGAAGCACGGATGCATGTTGAGAGAGCTAGAAAGTGCTTAGCGACAGAGCTTGCTGCTCTGGTAAGTTTTGCATGGTTGAGTATTTCTGATGCATCTTCTTATAATTATAATTATGGTCCTTTTTTGTTGGTACAAATGTTACATTTAGAAAGTAGATTTGAAGTTTGAGTCATTTTAAGGTTTCAAATTGTAACCAGCAAAGAACTAGATCTGTATAGATACCCTAAGAAATTTCAGTGTGTGCAGACTAGTTAGAAATAGAAAGGTTAGACTAAAGTCCTTAGTTAAGTTGGGGGAGTTCTCTGATTACTGCGTACAGAAGAAAGAACTTAGATTTAGCCATTTACAAGAAAAGAAGACTTAGTTTTTGCTTACATACATATCCCAGGCTCAAAAGTTTAGTACAAAACAAATTGAAAGATCACAGAGCCAAAGTTTTGGGCAGATACAGATTTGCCTTACTGAGCACTTAGAAGCATAGCTCACAGTTTGCATAGGACATCCACCAAAAAGACCTTAGGATCAGCAGCTTCACTTCACTGGTGCTATCTGAAATGGTGGAAGAAACACCAAGAGCTCACAGCCCAGTAAGTATAATTCCTAACTTTAAGTTAAGCGTATGTTCCTTAGTTCATTATGTAGGAAATTCCAAACACCAGTTCCTAACTTGTTCTGATCATGCAGAATTAGGATATTGTATGCTTGTAGCCTTAGCAGAACACTCATATAGACATAGCACATTAAATAAGAATAACACAGACTGTGGAGTCCACTGAATGTGCATCCACTCCCATTTAGGTGCTAAAGCTAGTCATAGCACTTACCTGCTCCACAAAGGTCCACTTGTGTTCATTGTTTTAACTCCCAAGACTAGGCTGGGATCCAAACTCTTAAGGCAATTATAGAAAAAGGCATGTACAGCGTAGAAACATGCATAACATGTTCAATATTTACTTAACAGTCTGTAGAATAAATAGAATTCAGGCATAGCATATGCTCAGCTCATGCGCACAGAAATTAATCTAAAAGAAATGGTACCCGCTTAACATGTTAATCTTAAACTTGAACTTATTAAAGCACAGTAATGGCATCACAAATCATAATTCCAAATCTTAGTTATCTAACTCAAATCAAAGTCTTCACTGCCTGTACAAATATTCAATGGAAACTAGGCTCCAGCATAGGTTAGATCTGATTCACCATATTTCTTTGCTTATGCCAGTACCTATGTTATATAGCCTTGATTTACAGAAGTTTAATTTCTCGTGTATGGTCTTTCTAGCTTATTTATATACTTCTTAATATCTTTGTTAGTCTAGACTTAAAATTAAGAATTATACTTCACACTTGTTCTAAATTCTGGACTTGGCAGAATTCCTCAAGAATTTCCAAGTCTGCTTGTCTGCATATTTGCAGCTTCTTTCTACTTTCCCTTCAGCCCAGGTAACACAAGAATATAGTAAAGGGCTAAGTTAGTTGCATGACAATGATATACTCTCTCAGACAAGGTTAAATGGGTTTTAAATGCTTCCCGCTAGCCAAACTTCAGCTTAGGACGCCTGTTATTGACATTAACAGGTTAACAGACGCTGGGGCTCCACTAATCTGATGCCTAAAAATGGCATGCAACCCAAAACTAACAATTCTTACAGATGAATCCTTAATTCTATATACAGTTAAGGATCTTAACTTTTAACTTAATGTGAATGAGGACAGGAATATCACAATATTTATGCAACATTTTGTGTATTTGCATTCTCCTTTTGTCATTTCTTCTTTCTTGGTCCAATTTTCATGGTCTATCCCCATCATTCTTGAAAATTTCCTGGGAAAAAGGAACAGTTTTACATGGATCAACGAATTACTGAATAAAAGAATAAATTATAAGAAGTGTAATATTTGAAATTCTTTGTTGTGTTAAACTAATAATAAGTAATTGCATTGGCCAACATGATGCCAACATGTTTAATGACTTTGATTTTTGTGGCTGTGGCTTATATCTTAAAACCGTTCTGATTTCTATTTCTCTGTTACACTGTCAGAGTATATGATGAATTTTACAAACTAAGATAGTTTTTGTGTTAAAAGAATATTTATTTTTTTGGCTGTCATGGAGTCAAGATACCATGGGGAAAAAAAATCTAAATACTTGTCTTTCTATAGGTTTTAGAAAGCTACGACCGTGCTTACAGCAACATGGTCCGTGTTCAGCAACTTTCAGAGCTAGAAGAGGTTTAATCTATGTTTTCCTTTTGAGATTATTTTTGTGGCTTTTAGCTCTTTGCTCTTTTTCTTCATGGACACACAATTCTCTTAAATTACAATACTGAGAGGGTTTTTTTTATCTAACAGGTCATTGATTACTACACACTTCCTGTTGGTAATCCAGTTGCCGAAGAACGGCGAGCCCTTATTCGCAACATGTGGACTGAGAGGATCCAGGGGACCAAACGAAATGTTGAGGTAGATATGCTCAATGCCTTACATTTCTATCTGCTTTAAGCCCATCATGCCAGCGTAATCCTTGCTCACAACCCTGAACTTAACTTCCTCATCCCTTTTCATTTTTGAAAAGAATAAAATTAATGCAACTGATCAATAAGAGGGCAAAGAGGGCCTTTTGAAATGAATAAAATTACCGCAACTGATCAATAATAGTCTAGATAAGTTTAAATAGTGGCCTTCTGGGTTCTAATATGGCCTTTTTTATTCGTTTTTTGGCCAAAGTAAACATGTTCTAATTTGACCTTGAATAAGAGGTACAAACTACTTCAGTAGTCTTGTGTCAAAATGTTGGCATCTGATCAACCATATGAAGTCCCTAAACGATTTTATCTGGTAGGTACTTGTCCTTTTCAAGTAAGTGTGCAGCTAAATTTGTGATGTTACGACCAAAGAGGGCCATTGAAGGCCTTGTAATTAAAAGCTTTATCCTAGTACTTTGGAATTAGAACTTTGCCAAATCTTCTTTTAGCAGTTTGATTTGTTAATATCCCAAACATCTCATCCTTGTTCACAGACTTTAAGGCTGTTATGACCAAAATGGAAACTATAGAGAAAAAAAGATATCCTTTTGAACAATGCATAGTTGCAAATTAGAAATTCTTTAAGAATATTCTGAGTATTATGAATGTATGGTGGTTCTCTTTTAGTTAAGATTTACTGTTTAAGTAGATTGAGTGGAAAGATGTAACGAAGCTTGCTACTACCTGATCAGATGCTTTCCCAGTAAAGAACAAAAGCTTTTCCTCCAAAAGTATGCTTTCTTCCTTCCTTCCTTCCTTTTTTTTTTAATTATTTTCAAATATTAGTCTTTAGAAGGTTGTCATTCGTGTATGTTTGTCTCTATGTCTGTGTGTGCACTTGTACACATTTTTTAAAACCTTTTTCTTGAAGGGGTAACCTTTAGATGGCAAAGCAATGGCTGGAGGCACAATGAATGGTTAGAGTTTGTGGGCTTTCAGTGAATATAGCCGTTTTCTGTATTATAGCGGGTTGACTACTATAATTATAAATGAACAAACAAAAGCAAACAAATGCACACATTCTCTCTTGTAGGTTAAACAAAAACTACATTACCTCATATTTTCTTTTCCTGCCATTCAATGCTTTTCAGAGTTTTATCATCTTTATCAGCCACTTTTCAGAGTTGTTCATTTATGCATATCCAATCTCCATGTTTGTGATTGAATGTGCAGGTCTGGCAAGAAGTTTTGGCTGTGAGGGCACTTGTCTTACCTCCAACAGAAGATGTTGAAACGTGGCTAAAGTTTGCTTCTCTTTGTCGAAAAAGTGGACGGATCAGTCAGGCCAGATCTACCTTAGTTAAACTCTTACAGGTCTGAGGTTCTCACATTTTTGTTTTATTGTCTGGAATTGTTGCAAAACAAATTTTTGGGTTTGTCCTCTTATTTGTCTATTTTCCTTGTTTTAATTTGTTCAAAACTGTTTACAGTATGACCCAGAAACATCTGCTGAAAATGTGAGATATCATGGACCTCCTCAAGTAATGCTGGCATACTTAAAGTACCAATGGTCACTTGGGGAGGATCATAAGCGAAAGGAAGCTTTTGCCAGGCTGCAGGTAGAGTGCATTTCTCCCCCATGAATGCCACTTTGTTGATGTATACCATGATAGCCATATCTTTCTGCTTATGTTACCAACTCATTTCTAAATCCTATCTTCATGCTGTTGCTTTGGTTCACAGAACTTGGTTTTAGAGCTTTCAAGTTCCCCAAATATTCAATCAGTTCCTTCAACTAGTTTGATGAACACTACAAGTGCAAACGTTCCTCTCATCGCTCGTGTCTATCTTAGACTTGGAACCTGGAAGTGGGCACTTTCTCCCGGATTAGATGATGATTCAATACAAGGTAGTCTCATTTTGTATTTCTTCTGTTCATTTATCCTTTTCTTATTAAGTTTTTCCTTTATTTCTCAAAAAAAAAAAAAAAAAAAAAAAAAATGAAAAAAAGAGGAACTTAATCCCTAGTGAAGATGTTATTGATAGTTTGATCTTTTTTTCATGGCAAATCTTCACCTTTTTGTAGAGATCCTTGCTGCATTTAGGAATGCTACTCAGTGTGCAACAAAACGGGCAAAAGCATGGCACAAATGGGCATTGTTCAATACTGCTGTTATGTCTCATTATACCTTGAGAGGTTTTTCAACTATTGCTTCTCAGTTTGTAGTTGCAGCAGTCACAGGTTATTTCCATTCTATAGCATGTGCAGCAAACGCTAAAGGTGTTGATGATAGTTTACAGGTAAATAGTATCAACCATAGAATATGTTATTTTTTTATTGATTTTGGACATGCACCAAACAACTTTGATTTTCAACAAGTGAGGTTTAGAAATTGTTGCAATCAAGTCCTACAATGGCACAAGTGAGAATGAATTAACATGGATGATTGATTTGCAATAGTTGGCTGTTCTCTTTTGGTCATGAATAGTTGGTTGGTGGTAATATGTTAATGGTGTCATGCGAATGATGATGGAAGAATTAAACTTAAATAATAAGTTATTTTCATGGAGAAAGTGTTGTGTGGGACCATACTGGACTACACAACTTAAATCGTGAAATGTGGGGCTGGCCTCCCTGATAGTTTGGGCTATCCCCTTATCCAATGGTTCTTGTTTTGCAATTCAGTGCAGTTTGGAATGCAAAACGGGATTCTCTATTTTCATTCCATATAATAAGTTAATTTCATTCCATAATCTTCTTATTATGATGCATCATACGAAACAATGATTTTCTCTATAATTTTTTATGAGTAAATACGATATTAGGGTTTGTATCAGTAAGTTCTCTTACTCTTCTTGATATAGGAATCATTGCATTGCTTTTAAAAGTTAGGAGGCATGCATTTGTCTTGGGTGAAGTTACTTTATGTAAGAAGGTGCATGGAATGTGTCTTATTTGCAAGTTTTCATCTTACTTTTATGCATGACAAAGCTTTCCCAGAACTTTGAATCAGATGCGTTTTTTAACCTCACTTCAATGGCTTGACAAATTCTTATTGGTTAGACAATCTATAATCAAATGTTGTATTTCGATTAAAAAAAGAGAGAGGATATTATAAGACAGTAAATTATAATCATAGTCTTACGTTCCATTTTGGTTCACCATTGTGTTTCCTGGGCATTTAATTTGCTTATTTTTTGCTATTTGATTAGGACATACTCCGCCTACTTACATTATGGTTCAACCATGGAGGCAGTGCAGAAGTTCAAATGGCACTTCAGAGAGGTTTTGCCCATGTTAATATCAATACATGGCTGGTTGTTTTACCTCAAATAATTGCCAGGATACACTCAAATAACCATGCTCTGAGAGAACTCATACAGTCTCTTTTGGTGCGAATTGGGGAGAGTCATCCACAGGTTTGCTTTGATGGTTTCTTTACCTCCTTGACTAAAAAATTTGCAATCTGTATGTTGGTCTGAGTGATTTATTTAATCTTGTTTATTTATTTATTTTTTCCTCAAAAATCTTAAACTTGTATATCCTTTCAGATATTGAAAATTCTATTTTTTGTTGCCCAAGAAACCTATTTTTCATCTTATGTTTGTTGCTGCAATTTTCTCAAATTCAAATTGTTTCAAACCTCTTCATATTTAGGATTAATTTGCTTAGCGTCACAGGCTCTTATGTACCCACTTCTTGTGGCATGCAAGTCCATAAGCAACTTGCGTAGAGCAGCAGCTCAAGAAGTCGTTGACAAAGTGCGGCAACATAGTGGCTTACTTGTGGATCAGGTCAAGCAATTAAAAACTATTTTTTATTTTCTTTTTTGTCTGTGGTTTGATTGATTTATTTATAAGTATGTTCGGTCTATGTACAGGCACAACTTGTTTCAAAGGAGCTAATCAGGGTTGCAATTCTCTGGCATGAAATGTGGCATGAAGGACTGGAAGAAGCTAGTCGTTTATACTTCGGCGAACATAACATTGAAGGGATGCTCAAGGTGTTGGAGCCATTACATGAAATGCTTGAAGAAGGGGCTATAACGGATAACACTACCATAAGGGAGAGAGCATTCATAGAGGTTGGAAACATATTTTCTTTCTATGTGATTAGATCAATAATATATTCATGTTCAACATGTTCTACAACATTAGCACATTACCCTAAGTAATTGTCAACTATCTGGTTGGCCTGTCATTGACTTTTGGTGCTGCACCTTGATTCTTCTGTATGGAAATTGTTTTGTAAGTTTTTATGGAAAAATTGGATTCAATGTGCATCTAAGAATGCTCCCAGTTTCTATGTTCATTTATTATTCTTCTATAATGTTGCAGGCATACCGTCATGACTTGCTACAGGCATACGAGTGTTGCTTGAAGTATAAGAGAACTGGAAAAGATGCTGAGCTTACCCAGGTATAAAAGTTTGATCTGTAGATTCTGAGGATTATAACTTTATTTTAGTTATTTTGTCCTTATTTGAGTTATTTTCTGCCCATTTGAAGAAAAACGATTGCTCATGGCCAATTTTTTAATGGGCTGCCTCCTGGCCTTTTGTTTGAAGCCCTAGGGTAAAATGTAATTAGACACTATTCATCTTATAATTGGTAATCATTACTTCACCATTCCCTTACTGGTGTTATAAACTCTATTGATCTCTATGCTCATTTTCTCTGTTTTTACACCTAGCTATTCTGAGGTTCATGTCAATTTTACTTGTGCATCTGAAAAGAGTGCTAATCATTTACTTTGTTTCTTGACTAGGCATGGGATCTCTACTATCATGTTTTCAGAAGGATAGATAAACAACTTCAAAGTCTTACCACGCTTGATCTGCAGGCAAGATTTTTTACCTTATGCTAATCTCTGACCCATCAATGTAGTTTCACTAACTTGTCAGTATGCATGCAATAGTCCGTTTCTCCAGAGCTTTTGGAATGCCGTGATTTGGAACTTGCTGTTCCTGGGACATATCGTGCAGGTAAAACAAAATAGTTGTTTCGCAAGAATATTTTTTTATTAAATCTGAGGCACCCAACTGAACAGATCCATGTTCAAATTTCAGAATCACCCGTGGTGACTATTGCATCATTTGCACCCCAGCTTGTTGTCATAACTTCCAAACAGCGACCCCGGAAATTGACTATTCATGGTAATGATGGTGAAGATTATGCTTTCTTGCTTAAAGGACATGAAGATTTACGTCAAGATGAGCGTGTCATGCAGGTAAAGTCCATTCCTTCCCTGTTTCTCTTTTAATTTATGGCAAATGAATGGTGGTATGATTGAGGTGCAGAATAAAGTATACATTTCATCTTCTGTCTGAAATTATGTCTCTTACTGTACCCCCTTAGTCACTGCTAATATCCTTTGATGGATGCCCTTCTGTCAGCTTTTTGGTTTGGTGAATACTTTGCTAGAGAATTCTAGAAAAACTGCAGAGAAGGATCTGTCTATTCAACGATATTCTGTGATTCCGCTGTCTCCAAACAGTGGGTTAATTGGTTGGGTCCCAAATTGTGACACCCTGCACCAGCTTATACGTGAATACAGGGATGCTAGACAGGTTAGTGAAGTTTCATTAAATGCTTTTTTTGTAGTACAGCCCATACATTAGACAAGTCTATTGATTTCTGGGTCTGTTCATTTGGAGCCCATTTAGATTGATGTGCTTTTCATGTATGCTTCATGATTGCAGATCACAATAAATCAGGAGCACAAGCATATGCTAAATTTTGCTCCAGACTATGACCATTTGCCACTTATTGCTAAAGTGGAAGTATTTAATTATTCTCAGCAAAACACTGATGGAAATGATCTACGAAGGGTATGTTGTTTTTTCATCTTTTTTTTTTAATATTTATTTCTTTATGGTTATTGTCTTTCCATCATAGTGGTTTTATTCTCTCAATGTGCGAAAACTCTTCACTTGTCTGTAGGTCCTTTGGTTAAAAAGCCGTACATCTGAAGGGTGGCTAGAGAGGAGGACAAACTATACCCGAAGTTTAGCAGTTATGAGCATGGTATGAACTTATATTGCTTTCAATGCTTCTGCTTAATTAATGTTGAGTTCAGCTATATATGAAATCAAGATTGTTTTCTTCCTTTTTTATTTTTTATTTTGTATTTTTTTCCTTACACGAGCCCTAAATGAACTCACTCCTAGATTTGATCTCTTAAAAATAACTTAAGTATGAAAGAAGAAAATCAGGGATCTTATATTTAGACATGATACCTTTGGAAATTGGAATCCCAAGACAAGAAATGAATGTCTTCATTGAGGATATTGATCAGTGTCATCAGACTGTATCTCTAGTAGTTGTGATCAATTGTATACTAGAATTAAATAGTTCTAAATATCAGATTGTTTTTGGATCTATGTTAATCCAAGCTTATAAAACCATTTCAAGAAGGCACCAATCATTAGAGTTGGTAAAGTCCTTCAATGGTTGTATCAAGGACCTGCTTGAGAACATTAAATCCTTTTCCAAAGTGGTCTTGCTGTATAAGGTTTCTTGACCTAAACCAATGTTCATATATGCCTGTTTTGAAGTTTTATAATGAGTGCCTTCTCTTTCAGGTTGGTTACCTTCTTGGCTTAGGTGATCGACATCCAAGTAATCTCATGTTGCACCGCTATAGGTACATATATGAAAGAAAGTAAGCAAGTCAATTAATTTTTTATAATTTTAAGTATCACATAATTGTTATATGGTTTGGTAGTGGGAAAATCTTGCACATTGATTTTGGAGATTGCTTTGAAGCCTCTATGAACCGGGAGAAGTTCCCTGAAAAGGTTTGTTCAATAAACAAGTATTGTCTTTTTCTTTTTTTTTAATATATATATTTGGGTGATTATGGATTTTTTCCCCTCTACCCTAATACAATACTAAGATTTGTTCATTTCATTACATGTATTTCTTTATATAGGTTCCTTTCCGCTTGACTAGAATGCTTGTGAAAGCAATGGAAGTTAGTGGCATTGAGGGAAATTTCCGTTCAACATGTGAAAATGTGATGCAAGTGCTCCGAACAAATAAGGATAGTGTCATGGCGATGATGGAGGTATCATCTGCTGGATAGAAAATTGCTTGTTTTGCTTCTGCTTCTGCTTCAATAACATTGGTGCTAGGGGAAAGTGTAATTAAATCATAATTAGGCACATATAAGCATAATATGGAATGAGTAGACATCCAGGGTAATACTTAAGAAGTGAGAAGATGCAATGATCGTATGAGCAGGGTGGTTTATGACTGTTATAAATAATGAAGACTGTAATATTGAGTTCCTTATGTCTTCTGTTTATGCTATCCCAGAATTTATATTGAGATTGATTAGGTAAAGGTTTCTACATGATGTATTGGGCTTTCTCACTTCCTTTTTTGTTGGTAATCTGTTACTATATTGAGATAACATGAGTTTAGGTATGGAATTAGAAGAAGCTCACTTTTAGCTTCACCTGTTTTGCAGGCTTTTGTTCATGATCCTCTGATTAATTGGCGTCTTTTCAATTTCAATGAAGTCCCGCAAATGTCAATGTTTGCAAGTACTCATGTCCCTGCTGTTGTAAACACTGAAGAAACTGCTCCAAATAAAGAGCTTTCTCATCCACAGCGAGGTGCTCGTGAAAGGGAACTTCTTCAGGTTTAACTATTGTCCTCAATCACAGAATTTCCTGAAATGGTAATTTTATTTAATCTTCTAACATGTTGGGTCTCTGTGTAGGCTGTTAACCAACTCGGTGATGCCAATGAGGTTTTGAATGAGCGTGCTGTGGTTGTCATGGCTCGAATGAGCAATAAATTAACCGGACGGGATTTTGCTTCTTGCTCGTCAGTTCCTACCAGTTCTATGCAACATGCAGTAGACCACAGCACTATAATTTCGGGAGATAATCGGGAAGTTGAACATGGATTATCAGTTAAACTTCAAGTTCAAAAGTTAATTATCCAAGCCACATCACATGAAAATCTATGCCAGAACTATGTCGGGTATGGTGCTGCAATTTTCTCTTTGTTTTTTAATAACCTAGTTCCATAACCATTTACATTTCTGTATGCGTGGACGCATCTCTATAACCACACATGAATTAAGTTTCTGATAAAAGCACATTCGATCATGATTAAGACTTACACTGTCCAAGTCTGTCTTGAATTATCAGTCGTTGACTTCCAACTCCAACAGTTATAAGTCATTTTCAACTCTAGGGTTTGGAAATCAATGGCTATAATTTATGCAAGACTTAAACATGTAAGTGGATCTTGACTTGTGAGTGGTGATTCATGTTGCACTGTTAAAATGAGAAATCCACCGGTTTGGCACTTGTTCCACGCCATGAAAAATACCTTTTGCTTTGTTTGTGAGGAGAACTACTCCCTGGATCTTCTTTCTTAGTTTTGCTTTTCATTTGCTTCAGGTGGTGTCCCTTTTGGTGAGAACTAAAGTAAAAACAATCACTCGTTCCTCTTATAATGTTGTACATAGCTGGAAGACACTACTGTCAAGTAGAGACAGTACTTCAAATTTTATATAACATTGTGTGTTATGTACATGAGTTGATTTTTTCTTTTGCAATGTATTGGATGAATCCATACTATAAATCAATAATTATGTCGCCTTTCGCTCATGAATTTCTCTTCTTTTTTTTTTCCCGCCCCTATTATTGTTTCATTGAAAAAGTTGTTAGAATTAATAACCTTATTATTTGGTAAGAAATAGGTTGACATTTAAAAAACTTGCTGGGTGAGTCGAAAACTTTCCCAGTGCCAAACACACCTTAAGACATCTTTCCATTTGATTGGACCACATGACATATGGTCCATGTGACCTAGAATATGCAAAAGAAGGTGAGAATGTAGTTACTATTAATTGGCACTGTAAACTAATAAATCATAACGGTAAAACCTATAATCATAATATAATATTATAAATTCATAATTATAATATATCATGATATGATTAATTATTTTTATTTAAAAATTATAAGATATATATTTACTTATTTAATACCACAATATTATTTTAAGCTTACAATTTTAATGTTACGTTACCGTTTTAACATTTTGCGTTCTTAAGACCTTGAGGAAATTCCATTTTATGATCTGTTTGTTTCAACTCTTTTCGTAAAACCCATGCGTTTTTTAGTATGAGAATAGCTGATTTGACCAAAAGAACTCAACCAACTCTTACTTGCACAGTGCTAAAGTATCTACATCAATTGCCATCTCATTCCAAAGTCCAAACAACGTATCAATAAAGAACCATGCAGAAAACTGCAGCTAGAACCGTAATGTAACCCTTTTAACATTATTCAACATCAAATAAAGAGCAACCAACTAACCCAAAAAGTCGAACTGGTTTATGAACCATTCGCGCTGCCAACTTGAGTATTGATTTATTCAAGAGAAGAAAGAATCAGCAAATGACTGCATGCCAAGTGTTGCGTTGCCCCGCATGAAAGCTAAAACTGTAGTTATTGGCAGACCTGACATTTTGCTCAAATTTTCCTAGAAACATCGTCAAGTATCAGAAGTATGATCGACCAGGTATATGCTGGTTAGGGCAACTCAAGCAAAGAACATATCATACCAGTTAGTAATTACACAAGTATTACTATTCTGACTGTTTCATCCATCTCTCAGGGAGATCTACCCCTGCAAAAACATTATGCACAATGGATATTTAATTCCACCAGTTGTGTGGTGCATTTCTTCTTACACTTGCTCTGCACGAAGCTCAGTAGGAAATCTGTAAAAATGTTCTCGTAATCTGGCATCTTCCCATACCCTGCATTAACATTTCAAAAGCTTGTTTAAACAAATACAACCAAAGAAGAGGGAGCTTGAAAAGGAAGCACGTACATGATTTTTTTTTCCTCTGTTTTGCCTGATTATACCCGATATTAATCAGATTCAAAAGGCAAATCCGCAATAGAGATCTACCTACCAGGAAAGTAATTAATGTCAATGACATAAAAGACGTCTCTCGTCCCATACTCTCGTATCATATCTATGTTGAACAAACGGAGACCCTACAAATTACAGCAAATTCTGTTAAACATAGAACAAAATACATAACTGCTACATAGCTCAATGTGATAAAATAACATAAACTTGCCAGCCGACAACGGAGTTCCCTGGCGAGCTTCTCCAGCAGAGGTCGTGGAGGAAGTTCTGCAATCAAAATGCCAGATTATTTTTCTGAGGGTGCTGACATCATAGGAAAAGCAACGTCCTAATGACTTTGATCTAAAAAAACCATTCACAACCAGTGGATATGAATGCACTCATACACCAGACATACAACACATCTCAATCACTCACCAGCAACATCAGGATCCAAATCTGCATCATCTGCTGAAGCAGCTGCAGATGAAACCCTAGGAAAGCGATATACACCAGCAACTTTTGCTGGCTCACATTTACTGATGTTGGGCAGAGAGAAACGCCTTACCACCTTAATAGCATCCCCAACAATATAGATCTTAAAGAGAACACCACCTGGTATGAATCAAGAAAGAATAAATTCCCGATAACTAGTAACTAGTATAATGATAGTAGCCAAAAAAAATTAAGGTCCATGAATCAATTGAAAGAAGATACCATGATTAACAAACTCCTGTAGGACCAATGGAGGCTCAAGTTCTGACAGGGAGAACTGATCATAAGCAAGAAACAGTTCATGTGACTTTGTGCTTCCATCCACTACTAGTGGTTTTGCCACTGAAATGTCATGTAAGAGGGAAAAAAAAAAAAAAAAACTTTTATCTGTTAGTCAATTAACCAAATGTGCAAAAGAAAATCTCAAGGGGTATAAAAAAACTCTTGTAGGGCATCCATCAATGTATTTTTCTGTGATTTGGACTTTCTCTTAACCAAATCCAGTTCTAGTAGTGAACTTTTGTTGCTAAAGGAAAATCAGTATCTGGATACTAAAACCATTTCCAAGTGGCTGGAACCCCAATGACACAAACAGAGACAAACACAGCATACCTAGTGGCATTCTTAGTCCAGCTTTAGTAACTTCATCGGGAATAGATAATGGATTGTTTGCTATAACCATTTGTCTTGGAACACCAACCTTGCCTACAACAAAACCAAATAGCCATTGCAAAAATCACTAAGAAACTAATTTTTTTGTAAGTTCTACAGTCTTGAGCAAAATGTTTAAGAACAGAAAACTTTTCCATGTCACTTCTAAAGATCAATAAAATGGCACATAAATTACCGTGGCAGTCAGAGAAGTTTAAATCTGCTACATCCTGAAGCATAGACTGACGATTATGTAGATGACGTATTGCATCAGGAGGATCAAGAACAGTTACTTCTGGATGTTCTTTCTTATAATCCTTCAAGAATATAGGAGGAAAATGAGAAAGGATGCCTGAGAATAGATGGTTAAAAGAAAAAATATTATAAAAAGATTAGGACATCATCACACCAGGTCATAACACCAAATCAGACACAAGTTCATAAGCAGTTCTGTTTCTCAAAAAGAAAGTTGTTACAAAGGAACAATTGATGGCTCCTTACTGAATCAAAGGGCACCTCAATAAAGAGTGTGCCATCAAATAGACTTACCTTTCCTATAATCTGATTATAGGTTCCTTCCATTAATAAAGGAAAGTGGCCAAACAGAATGGCTCACATAAATTAAGTAGGTTGTTCAGAGGGGTGATTTGAATACAGTTTAAACACAAAAAACAAGCATATTCCTATCCATAATAACTAGCAGCAAAATCGTTCTTAGCCGTATGACCTTGAGGAAACTGAAAAATATATTTCATTGAGTTGCTCAGAATTAAAGGCACTAGTATCAAGGTATCATTCTTTGAATCGTTTGGCTCTGGATATGAGAACACGTTCCAGCAAACTCGGACATAGGGAAGCTGTCAGGCAGGAATAACCATGAAAGTTGATTCTTCATGGAAAGTTTCGAGACCATCACTTATCTTCAGATGGATGATGGATACAAAAAAGCAACTTAGAAATTTAAATAAACTGGCTTGCAACAAAAACTAGAAAAAATACTTTATTTACTATTGTTGGCAGAAGTGCGACTTCTTAATTGCAGCTTTTGATTCTTAGCCTCTACAATAAATAGGTTAGACAATTTAGTTTTCAAACCCTTCAGCTTTTGAAAAGTACTCCAAAAACAAATTATTTCATGGTCAAACTTAAGCTACTATTGTTAACAATCAAGCACACTTTCAACTCTTTATTGATGGTAAGCTTCTAGAACTTAAAATCAAATACATAAAAAAAGGGAGAGGGGGGGGGGGGGGGTGGGGAGTTTAAATCATAGAACAGATGTAGAAAGCATAAAGCTTTCAATATAAGACAGATTCTGCTACCTAACAGAGGTTATGAAGAGTTTTTGAAAGACAAGCATGACTAAAAGCAAGGAACACATTTCTTCCTATGCTGATCTAATTCAGATCTTGCGAGGTGAAGATCTATGAAATCCATAGGAAGTATAGGCCCAGTCTTCTCAATATGTCTAAAAATCTCCCTATTTGCGTTATATTAGATATCTGACTCAAAATAACTACAGCAGAGAGAAACAAATTCTGTTAGGCTACAAACGGACATGTCATAATACAAGCTTCTGTCCCCGAAAGAGCAATTATCAGGAATTTATAGTACAGAACAATTAAAAATGACAGCAGACAATATTTTACTGATTAATACAATGTAATTTCAAATGATTAACTATAAACTAAATGTGTTTGTTAGAAATTTCAAGTGTATTGCTCACACATAAATATAGCAATTTTTTCACAGAAGTATAACATTACATTAAAAACTTGTTTACTTTGAGTTAGCAATTTTAAACATATATGAAAAAGCACACTTGCTCAATTATTGTCATTACTTAAGATGAAAGGTTAAATTTAGTAACAATCTTTCTTCAATTAAGTTCATAACTCTAAGAAACTTCTGAAAAGAAACAAGAAATGTTTTTCACAAGGAGGTAACCAAATGCCTACCCAACCTATCACAATCAATTAACTATCTGATCATGATTCATGATGAGGGAGCAAGAAATCTGCAAATTATGTCAGGGAAAATGGATTTTAAGGTTAAGTAGAATTCTTGTTCAACCAAATCACTGTCTCTTCACATTTAATCTCCAAACAAAAATGGATTGCATTGCTTTTTTATCTCTAGTTGTAAGTCAAGAATCAGCAACAACAAACATTCAATTCGTTATGTGATAAGAAATGATAAAATAAAAGAATCACAAGTTCAGATGACAAACCTCAATAATCTCACACCATTCTTTCCCCAACAACTGAAAGCAACATAAGGCCCATCAGGCATTTCTTGAAAGTTGAGAATATAGTTCTTTTTTTTTTTTCTTTTTTTTTTATCAACAATTTCGTAAGGAACATATGAGGAAGTCTCTTGGAAGAAATCACACTAACCTTGTGCAAAATAATGTCAAAAGGCCCTTGATCTGATAGCGGCCTATTTAGATCAATGGCAACCAATAATATCCCCTTATTGCTGCACCAAGTACAAAAATATTCTCCTGATAAATATTACATATATACAGTGCAGTACAAAGAAAAGAAGACCAGAGCTTATTCCAGTAAAAATTATCAGTTTCACCATTCTATTAAAAATTTGTTTAATCAAATAACATCACAAGGAAATTTAACTTGAATGGCAATAAAACTCCCTCCACTGACTACCATCCCAAGTTAGACACAACAAAATAGAATAGTTTAGAATAATTTTATTTGACTAGGACAAAAAAATTACCACCATAAATTAAACAGTATAATAAACAGTAAAAGCAAAGTTTTGAATTGCACCATACATTAAAAAAAAACAACATTACAAAAAAATAAAAAAACAAAAAAAAACAAAAACATAACAAAGCTCAGCTGCATAATTTTTTAAAAAAGGTATCGCTAAAGCATACGATATACATCTTTTACTGCCAAATGAATAGAGGACATCATCAAATGCTAAAAAACCAGCCTGCATAGGTTGAATAAAGAGGCAATGGCAAAACAACATTTACAGAGAAATTAAGCGGACACGGACAAATAAAAGAATCTAAATAAATGGTGCTAAAAATCTTGGTGCATTTTAATTTTAACTACAGAGAGATCAAGCATTGACTAGATTTCCCAATGAAGCCGAATCCAGATGGCATATATGGTGGAATATTCCCATTAAAAGTCAAGACGAATGCTCTCCAAATTCTTGATCCCTTTCAGTCAATCAAAAACAGTACTGAATAATCATTTCACATGCATCAACTTAGACATGCAATGCCGGATGTGGGATAATTTTACCACAACTCCACCACTAACAAGGACACCATATGTTTGCCACTGCAAAATCTGAATTGCCACAAAAGCATTACAAAAAACAAAGGAAATAAAAAAGAGCAAAGGAAAATTAGAAAAAAGCACCTCATGGCCAACCTACAAGCCAGGCCGATTATGGAAAATCCTATTTAAAAGAAATTGAATCAAAACAGCACATAAAACATCAAAGTCAAACCCGTAATCGACATCACATATATGCATAAAAACAAAAGTAACGCTTACACACAACACAAATGACAAAACTGCAACAACCAGCAAGATTAGACAATCCAAACATGAAATGGGTATTCCAGAAACAAACATCGATGCAGATGTAAACTGGAAACAAAAATGGGTATTCGAGTAAATACCGAGCCAAGCGCTCGAACTTGGGTTGCAGGAAACTCTTCTTCTTCTTCAATGTCAAGGCGTACCCAACAACCAGCTTTTGCTGCTGCGGAAAGGCCTGCATATTGTTCTCACTCTCTCTGTTCTCCTCTTCCTCTTCTTCTTCCCAATCAGAAATCTCACCATTCAACCTCATCCCCACCCCTTTAAAAACCCTAAATCACAAACTTATCCTATTCCTTTTTCTTTTTAATTTCTGGGTTTCGTTAATATATTCCCAAGATTGATTCTTTTCCTTCCCTCACTGCAAATTGCTGAAAAACCCAAAAAAATTAATATTTCTTAGCTCTATCTCTCCCTCTTTACAATTCTCCCCTGAGATTCATAGCATGTTTACAAAATCATCAGGGTATACAGATGACACCATGAATGAAATGAGACGTTTTTCTGAAGCAAACAACAGAGATAGAAGATGGGTTTTCTCAAATATTTCTGCTTTGAGAGTCTTTCTCAGGCAGAGGAGTTACGTATATATTGGGGATTGGATTGAGGTACAGAAAGGGGATTGGATTTTGAGAAGGGAATATTCAGTTTTGTAGAAGAAGACAGAGATGTACAAGCAGTGGAGAGGAGAGGTTAGAGGAGAATGGTATGGAGTAAAATAGTGTATTTATAGAGAGAGAGGATACAGATTACGGACGGAGCTTGTGCTGTGCAAATGCGCGGCGGCTTCAGCTTTCTGCGCCGGACTTTGTGGATGTTGAACTTGAAGGTTTCGGAACTCCGTTTCAACTCTTCTTTGCCCGTTTTGCCCTCATTTATGTTGACTGATGTTTTGCGTTTTTTTTGTCCCTGTTTTAACTATTTGCCGTCGTGTGTTTCTCAGACTCTGTTTCTTATCCCATATTAGGTGACGTTTGGTCGGTGGTCAGGGCTTTTTTTTTTTTTGTTAAATTATAAAAAATAAATTAAATTTAATAATTTTGTTCAAAGTTAAGAATAACTAAGATGATAAATTTTTATTAAATTAAGGGATGAATAGTAATATCCACTCTTTTTATTCTTTAAAGAATATTTATTCCTTGACTATTTAGTAATATAAAACGAAAATTTGATGTTAATGTATAATTATTCATAATTTCTTATGAAAATTTAAAGTTTAGTTTGTTTTTATAATTTTGCAAAAACCGTCGACCGAACAAGCTCTTATTTTATAGGAGTACTATATATATTTGCATAATTGTTTTATGCAATTTGATTATGCCAAAAAATTAATCTTTGATGGAGAAGGCCTTGAATGTAGGGTTGTTCTCTTCTTCAATTTAGTTCAAATTACAGAAAAGCAATCTTATACACACACACACACACAAAAATGAAGTCATAAAAAACGATAATGGCCCCCGGATGTGAGGTTGTCATGGTTGCTCCAACAGCAAACTATGTAGTTTTAAGACTTTTTAAAATTGAACCATGTTATTTTATTAGTAGAAGAAATAGATGATGCACAATATACTGTAATCCTGTAAATAGTCCTATAAAAGGCATAAAAGTCATATCAATAATATAGTAGCACACAATAATAGGTTCTTATCAATTGATTTAGACAATTAAGTATAGGAATCCATAAACAATTATAAGATTACAATTAATTTTTACAAGGGTATGAGCCAGGCTACCTGGTAGATAGAAAAACACTTCCACCATCTCTAGTACTTGAAAGTGTCACTTGATGTGTCAGCTTCGCTTTCAAGATAGAAAAACTAGCTCGCCCTGTCTCCTCTACCATAGCAAAACTCGATATGAAATTGATAAAATCTAGTTAAAGACCCTCAAAAAGAGAGGAACATACTCTTTTCTAGAGAGAAACCTTCAAAGGCAATAAGAAACTCCCACTTTATTTATTCTCCCTAACTGTCATAGAGAGATAAGTTGTTACAATTAGAGAGAAAAATAGAAGTAGAAGAAGATAGGGTGGTAACCATGAGAAGGCAATGACTACGAGAGAGGAGGAGAGACGCTAAGGTATTATTTGTTTATTTATTAATTTTAAGACTTAAGCATGTCAAAAAATTAAGAAACTATCACACATATTTATAATTTACTAAATACTTTAAAAAATCAACCAATTACATTATTAATAGGAGTCTCTCTCTCTCTTTTTTTTTTAAACATTATTTAATAAGAATCTTCAATCTCAAGATTATATTATTTCAATAAATACAATAGTTTTAGGATATAGTTGGTGGTTACCTATCCTTCAAATATATACTTTTAAAAATCCCCCCTTTTTTTTTTAATCTATAAAAGAGTAGGATGATTAAGGTTTGGTTTTGGATGAACTAAACTAGACTAATTAATTTGGACAGGTCAGCGAAATCTCGAGCTTTTAAGTGGCCAAATCACAACTAAGTAAGTACTATTAAAAATTATTAAACTAAATCCCTAGTCGGTTTAATTGTTAACAATAATTAATAATTAATAAAATATTTAATATTTATTATCTAACATAAAATCAACCTATACATATATATTTCCAACTAATTGCTTAAGAAATCTATAAATTAATAAGAGAAATACTATTGGGACAACCATTTTATCTCATCTTTTTTTACAATCTAACGTATTATTAAAATGATTGATTTTTTTAATTAATGTGAAATTCATAATATTAAATACATCTACTTATTTAATGACATGTGAAAATTGTATAAAAATGTGAGACAAAAAAGTTATTTCTATAACACCACTCAATTAATAAAGCAAACCAAATCAAACAAATTCTAAATTAGATTTTTCGAAGAGTCGAAACTCATCTTGCTATTTGCTTGCCGTATGACAAGTATAATCCCTTGTCATTTTTTACGCCTTAAGTAGATCGTATTACGCCACTGATAGAAGACTTGCACTTTTTGTTAAATGACGTTAATATACATAGTATAATATTTATTAACTTACCAAATATTTCGCAATCATCTTAACCGCTAGATTTTTTTTAATTCAATGACCATAGATTTTCTAAATTAATGATTAATAATTGTATATATAAGTTTAAATTCTTAGGCAATTGGATCTTGTTTATGCATTTTCTTTATTTATATATCTCTCCCATAGTCCCACAAACTAAATCCAAAACTTGTTCTATATATAAAGAAAATCAAAATCTTGTGATTAAAACAGAGTACGAGGGCCTGTAGATCGAGTAATACATTATTGATAAAAAAAAAAAGGTGCATTTTCACTTGTATAGTTAAAATGTGAATTCTTATTTCTTCTCCAACCCTCTTCTTTAGGGTTTTCAACTAGTTGATTTATTATTTTAAAAAAAGTCAAATCAGTTGACTTGTTTCTTAAAATAATTAATATAACTTATTTTTCTATGTAAGTAATGATTCAACTACATTGTATGTTAACAGGGTTTAGGTTAGTGTAGTATATGTCATTTTTAAAATTTTTTAGGCCTAGCTAAAAAGTTACATTATAATTAATATTTTTAACAACTAATCATTAAGTTAAATATTCAATTCATGTATATGAAATATTTTAATTTTTAAATTAATTTAACATTTATAATTTTTTAATTAAAAAAATTTTATTTACTAATATATATTTAACAGTATTAAGTTTTATTTAATTAGTAAACTAATTATACCTACTATTAAATTAATATATAAAAATTAACATACATGATTTATTTAAATAAAACTTTAAATTTAATTATCAGTTTTTTAAAATATACAGTATTAATCAAATCATGATGTGTTTGAAGATGTTCTTTAAAAAAAAACAATCCTACAAAACATTTTTTAAATATAATAATTTTTTATATAATATTTTTGTACGAAGATGAGGGGTGAAAACAATCCTCAGCTTGTTTAAGTAACTAAAAGTGACATGATTTTTGTTTTTGATATCATTTTCATGGGATGGGTTACGTTATGTAATAACCTTTTCTCACAAGCCAAGACGACCATCGAATTGAAGTGGGGAATTGTGGAAAAAGATATGAAAGCACAAGAGCGTCCACTTCAACAAACCAAATGTTTAGTGGTGGAGGACTCAAAAGCATAAATATCATGCATCAATGGATTAGGATCGCTTGTTAGTTGGCATCATTCTAAAGCTACAAAATGCTTCCAAAATTTTGGCAAAGATGCCCCTAAAAAGAAACTTGTTCACACCCATCACGTTTACAAAATGGCTAAAGTCAAAAGAATCACCAATCTTTGATTTTTCAACGTGTTTTTTCTTCATCCTCTCCTTTATTCATTTTTCCCTTCATTTATCAGGAAATTTTCTATCATATATATGTTGTTTAAAGGATAATAACACAAGGAGAAATTATTTATATAATTTTTATTTGTAATTTTTATATTTCATTAGATAAGTAAATATATGTATACAATATTACAAATTTCATTAGTAAAAGTAAAAAGAGACAATAACAAGTAAAGTTATATAAAAAAAAAAGGTCATTTGATAAAAGTTACTCT